TTTCAACTCGAGACATTGGCTGGCGGGAAAACGATTCCCACCGGATATATTTGGGTGAAGAAATAAACCTTGCTTATAGACGACTGTATTGGCTCGCAGGTCAGAAGAGAGCGGCTGGTAAGCTAAAATACGTATGGTTTTCGGCGGGTAGACTGCGCTGCAGAAAAGGAGATGGCCATCCAGTGATACACATCGACCAACCAAATGATCTAGAGGTTCTCTGCTGACCTTCTTATTTCCGTCAACCTACAGATTGTATCCGTAAACTCCCAATTATCTTGTATTGTATAATACAGCACCGTGCTGGGTTGCCCATCTATTACTATTACTATTATTTCTCTATTTTAACCAATGTATTTTTTTAGTCCTTCATATTTTTGAACCTAACTCTTTTTTGTTTTTTCTCTTCTTTTACAAACATTATTTACTTCTTTCCAAATTTATTTTCACAGTTTTCTCTTACTTACATCGTCATCCATCATATATATACTTTTCTCCTTTCCGTTATGTCTAGCGTCTTAACTACTTGCCATGTTAATTCACAATCCCTTCCTGCTTACTATGACGAATTTCTTCAATATTTCACCTATAATTTCTAACACATTATTGCAGTTTCTGAAACATGGCTTAAGTCATATATCCCTTCCTCCTCCGTTTCCTTACGTGATTATACCTTCATCCGTCATGACCGGGTTCCCCGGACTGGCGGAGGTGTTGGTCTATATGCCCACAATAGCCTGAAACTCCATATTCTAGATATTTCTTCCCCTACCAATCATCCTCACATTGAATTCCTCTTCGCTTAAATTTCTTGTAAAACACATCCTCTCCTTTATGTGGTCGTATATCGCCCTCCTTTGACTCCTTTTGACCCATCCTTCAAATCAACCTTGCACAATTGTGTTCCTTTCTATAATAACATTATTATTTCTGGTGATCTTAATACCAACCTCCTCACCGAATCCAACAACAATCGCTACTTGGAAATCCTCTTCTTCTCCCTTAACCTTTTTATTGTTCCTTTCGGTCCTACACACCATACCTGTTGGTCTGACACCTGGCTGGACTTGCATATCATCGATTCAGAGCAGAAACTCTTGTCATGTTCTCAATTACCCGTTCCTTTCCTTTTTTCCTCATGATCTCATCCAATTATCGTACGATATCCAAACTCCCACGTTTCTTCCTAAAACCACAACTTTCCGAAATCTTGGGAAAAATCCTACCTGATCTTGAAATCCTAAACTGGACGATATTTATTCCTGCTATACCTCTATTGATCATATGGTAGACATCCTCACTTCTAATCTTATCCATATTCTTGACATGCATGCTCCTATCAAAACCTCAACCTTTCGCCACCAACCTGCTCCTTGGATGTTTCCAGAAATCCATGACATGCAAAAGTGACGTGAGGCTCGTAGACGAACTTTTAGAGTTCCCCCAGAAATGATTTTCTTTTCTTATGCTATTTTATTTTCCCACGTTTGTATTATACATATCAGAATGTTTTTAGTGTAATAGTTCAATTTTTGTTTTATTCTTTTTTCAAAATCTTAATCTTAATAATAAATGTAAATAATTAATTTTATGTATGGCCACACAGGCATTTATTCTGTATCTGTAATTTGTCCTAAAGGGACAACAGTCCCAGGATAATAAAAAAATATTTTCATAATTGGTAATTGGTTGTCTGTCGTGGATAATGAAGAGAAGAATAGTTGGGGTGGTCAGTCAAAAAGGAATGCAAAAAATAAATGATAATATTTATTTTTTACATATGCCGACGTTTCGACCTGAAGTTCAGGCCTTCATCAGGGCTAAGAAAGTAATCAGATAACAAGGTATGAGAAACATAAGTAGTGATGGTAAAAAAAAAATAATAATGACTAAGAACTAATAATGACTAATATTGTATTGAGATATTGTAAAGTCTATCAAGATGTACAGACGTTTTTTATTTATTTCTTATTTCAGCTTTCTCAATTTCTTCCCTCCTTCCTTTCATTCCTTTTCTCTGTTTTTAACTCTTTATTATATTATACATTGTCTGTACATCTTGATAGACTTTACAATATCTCAATTTTCTATCTAACTACTCCATTCTCAATGTTTTAATTTTAGTATTTATTTTCATTTCTTATATAACTTCATATTTCTTTTTTTTTTTATGTTATACATTTTATTCTAAGATTCCCATTGTAACACCTATGTCACCCTTTTTGATTATGCCTACTTCATCATTCCACACTCTGTAACGGTTATTATTATTTATCTCTTAGTTCTTAGTCATTATTAATTACGGTTACCGTTCTTAGTCATTATTAATTACGGTTATTATTATTTATCTCTTAGTTCTTAGTCATTATTATTATTTATTTTTTTTTTACCATCACTACTTATGTTTCTCATACCTTGTTATCTGGTTATTTTCTTAGCCCTGATGAAGGCCTGAACTTCAGGTCGAAACGTCAGCATATGTAAAAAATAAATATTATCATTTATTTTTTGCCTTCCTTTTTGACTGACCACCCCAAATATTCTTCTCTTCATTAAAAAATATTTTCATTTCATTTCATTTCATTTCATTTCACCAGCAACAGCTCACCCTCCTCTTACCAGTTTTTCTTATCAACCTCATTTAACAGTGATAATTTCTATTTCCCCAACCGACCTTATTTCCTCTATAATGAAATCTCATGCATACTCCATCGGACTTGATGGAATACCTGTCAAACTGTTAAAATTATGCCTTCCCGAAGTCCTTCCTGTTCTACTTTTCATCTATATTTTTCCCTCCAGAACTCAGTTTTTTCTACTGCTTGGAAAAAGCTTTAGACAGACCTATTAACAAAATCCCCAATCCTACTTCTCCTAAAGACTTCCGGCCAATCTCCATTCTCTCTAACCTTTCTAAACCTCTGGAAAGAATAGCTCAATCCCAAATCTCTAAATTTCTTTAAAACTCAAAACTATTTGATCCTCTTCAATCTGATATTCGTCCTGGCTTCTCCACATAATCCGCCCTACTACAAATTACCAATGATTTACATACCGCAATGGACGAAAAAATGTTAACCGTGTTAATACTTCTCGACTTTTCCAAAGCTTTTGACTCCTTAGACCACTCTATACTCTACACTAAATTAAAATCTCTATCCTTCTCCAACAGTTCTATCCTCTGGTTGCAGTCTTTCCTATCCGACAGAACTCAAGCAGTCAGCATTCCAAACCAACACCTATCTTCCTTCCTTACACTGTCCTCTGAACTGGCTCAGGGTTCGAGCATTTCCCCTCTCCTTTTTAATCCCTATATAAATGATCTTTCCAAATCCACTTACCACTGTTCACACCATTTATACGCTGATGACTCCCAAATCTATTTTTCCTTTCACCCTTCTGAGCTACTAGTCGCGTTCCCCAATATTCAGGCAGACCTAGATAGGATCAGTGCCTGGGCAAGTCTGAAAAATTTAAAGCTAAACGCGATGAAAACTCAGGCCATTATTATAGGTCCCAGTACTATTCTTATATCCATCTCCTTCCTTCCTCCTTTAGTTATCAACGATCATCCTATCACATTCAGCTCATCCGTTAAAAACCTAGGAATCACCATAGACGAAAACCTCTCCTGGAAACCCCATATCGCCCTCATCTCCCGTAAGTCAATAGGTACCCTTAAGCTATTTCATCGCTCCCGCCACCTACTCCCATAACCATTCCGCAAGCTCCTTGTATCCTCTGTTATTTTCCCCCACTTTGACTACGGCTGTGTGGTGTACGGAGGCATCCCGATGGTACTCGAGGATAGATTGAAGCTACTCATGAATTTCTGCTTAAGATTTGTCTTCAGTACATCGAGGCGGTCTCATGTGTCCCACCTTTACGATGAGTTAAAGTGGCTCTTCCCAGACAACATTTCCTTGGATCTTTCCTATTCAAAACGATCAACACCCGACACCCTTCTTACATCTACAGTTCAAACCCATGGTCCACTCCCAGAAAACAAGATCCCGTGTTTCCCACCTTTATATCACTTCCCATAGAACTAAGGCATTTGAATATTCCTTTATTGCCCGATCCACTGCATCCTGGAATTCCTTGCCATCTGAAATCCACCATGCCTCTTCCTTGTCCTCATTTAAATATCATCTCTACCAATTCCTTCTCACATACCAAAATGATGTTATATAATGAAATAAATAAACTTTAATTTAATAAATTTTGACTGAGGTGAATGGTTGTTAAAATTGTTTGAGTTTCAATTTTAAAAATCAACGCGTTTATATTATTTTGTTATCTATTTTTTACCTGATTTCTGTTTTGTTTTTTATCATATAAATAGCGTTTGTCTTTTTTCAAAATGGTGTTATTTTTATTTGTTTAAATATATTTTTATTGAAGATGCTGTATATATTCTTTATTGTTGGTTAATGTCATTTTTGGCCAGATGTAGTTTTTATTTATTCTTTTGTTCATAACTGTTATTTATAAGGGTCCTCATCCTGGAATAAGGTTTATTTTATATACATACATATATATATATATATTGTTATGATTTTAGTAATCTGTAATTTGAAATTCTGCAAGTCATAATACATTGGAGTAAGAAGTGTAGTGAAGGGGATAACGCAAATCCCATGCCCCACTCATCGCCTGGAGTAAGGTAATTTTGAAGATCAGCTTTCAGAAATTAGCCATTACAATTTAGAGTTTCCACCTAAATGTTAGTCAGTGCAAGCTCAAATGATAAAATCCAGCACCAGTTTTGTGTAGTATAAACCATATATGGTCAGTTTCTAGTGTAAAAGAAAAGGACTCAAGAAATCCAACATGGAATAATCAATATTTTATTTACTCATTAATTATGTTTATATAATTATATCTTTGTTGCAATGAACACATATAACGTAGGAAATAAGAGATTAAACAGTTCCAACTTGCTGAGGAGCAGGAGGTAACATAAAGCAGTTTCTAGCTACCATGTATTAATCCTTTTGCTGCTTCAAACTGATATATCTGTCAGGTGTGCTACTAGCTGATATATCAATTTGGCTGGCTTGTTTTGCCCTTCCCTGCTTCTCCCTATTACATCAGTTCTGCCACTATCTCCATCTGTAGGCTGTTTATAGAAGCTGCAGTGTCCTTCAAAGCTGATAGAGGGCATAGAACTTCACTTTTATCATTTTAACTTATAACTACTCAGGCTACCTGTATGTCTGTCCCATCCCCTTTTTTTATTGTGGATGGCCATCATTCTCATTACCTGAAATTTTACCCTCTAGTATATTTTCAAGAGAATAGTTGTGTGCATGAATATGGCGAGAAAAATTTATTCTGAACAAGAATTGTTGGAACTTTCAAGGGGTGTGAGCAAAAGTGAAGCGGAGTTTTCTTCGGATGAAGACGAGGATTCTGAATATCTTTCCCAAAATATTGGAGAAACACTGGGAACCAGTGGAATGTCTAGTGCTAAAATGATAAACGGTAGAACTGAAAAAATATTCAGCACACGGGACACTTCAGGTGCTAAGCTATCCTGCACCACTCTATCCTCTAACCACTAGAGTATTATGCAGCCTAAGGGTTAATAGGTGAGGAGTAAGAATGGGTCAGGAAGACACAGGGTTGAAAAATCTTGCTCAAGTCAAATCTGAGTCCTTTGTGTAAAAATCTCAACGAACAGGAACGTATTTGCTTACTTCTCATGAATTCATATTAATTCTTAGCCATAAAAAAAAGTCATACAAATTCTTATCCAGTGTGTACATCACTTAAATAGTTTTTTAAAATAAGCTTATTAGAATAAGCAGCAAAGAAAGTAGAAAAAATAGAATGAAGAAATACCAGGTAAGAATGGCTAATAAACAATTATATAAGATGTATGGAGAGAGAAAAGTAAAGGAAAAATATTTTCTTGATATGCCAGCTGAAAGTTTAAACAGGAAATTCAGATAAATAAAATTTAGAATAATTTATTTTATTCTTAAATATTTAAAACATATAAAATAGTTGATTTTTTTTTGTATTTAATTAGAAATTCAGGTATTTACTCCTATTTATTCATGGTGTTTTTTTTTGTTTTATTTATATTACATTTAATGAATACTTAAAAACCAAAAGATGACATATATTTTTAAATATCTTAATTTGTTAGCATTAAATAAAATAACATAGAGGTAAAAATGAATAGCAAAAATAAAAATATTTCTTTAAGAATTTTGAAAGTCAATGTATCCTCAAACTGGGGAATTAGAGAATATGAAAGAAATCAACATTTAAAAGAACTAAACCCATTATTTAAAATAAATTAATATATATAAATATATATATATATATATATATATATATATATATATATAGGTAAAAATGAAAATATATGGAATCTGACAAATAAAGAATATAGTTTTACATTATTAATGCATCAATAAATTGTATAAGATAATTATAAACTACAAGCATTTAAAAATATAAATACAACCAAATCTATGTATTGTGTAAAAATCTGATTTCAAACAGTGCTAACTTTTTGTGGTAATCATAAAAATGAGAAAGTATTAAAAATTACAATACATTAAACAATGTTCGTGAAAAATAAACTGTGATTTAAAAGAATAGGATTGAAATTGAGAGAAGATACGACAGATAAATTGGAATAAATCTATGAATAGTTCATTACACCAACCTCTATTTAAAATAAGTTGTCAACTTTTGGCTTTAAAGGTTTATAAAAGTAAAATATAAAAATAAATAAAAAAAAACTTACGGATAAGTTTTAAAAGTTTTGTTTAATATAAATTATGTCAACTATATTCAACACTATCTTTCAAGCAAAGCTGTGCCAATGAAACATGTTTATAAACAACATTTATGTACAAATGGTCTCGTTTAAAACACTATCAAGGATTCATATACATGATATATAAATTGTGAATTTCATAATTATACATATATATATAAATGATTATTTTTTATTAATGTAGTTTTTGGCCAGATAGTTTTATTATGTGTTCATAATTATTATTGTTAAAGGACTTTGTCCCAGAATAAAGTTTATTTTCTCTTTTACTCTCTCTATGTATATATTTATATATATATATATATATAATTAATAAATAATAACAAAAAAGGCAAATAATAATTGACATTGTGATACATTTTAAAACTAGTTTCCTTTAAAGATATAAGATAATATACTTAATATACTATTAAGTGACGATAAAAAAAAAGTGCCTTCAATTATATTTTTAACTAAGGAATTATACAATTTCTTATTACAGAAGTTTATCTACCATTACTGGATACTTAATCTAGGGATCAAGTAACAAGAGAAAGGTAAAATTTAGACAAATTTGTGTCACAAAGGGTTCTAAAACCAATATCACATATTGGTTCCATTACATTTCACGAAAACACTTAATACATAAAACTATAATTTATAAATACTAACATGTCATCATTAGTAAATTTTATATTCCAGCAATAATAATGATACTTGCAATAATTAATAATTATTGTTATTCTTTAAAATCAATAATCTTGGTAGCTCAGGCTTGGAAAACTTTAGTTCCATACATATCAGGAATGTAAACCTAACAAAATTTAACACTTTTAACTAGTATCCTAAACAGCAACAAAAAAGTAAACTTTACAATAAGAAAAGTAATGGCACAGCTTTGTTAAAAGTTAGTTACCATTATGAAAATAAATGTGTATGAAAAAAAAATACGGCAAACATAAATTTATGCAGATTAGTATACATGTCTTATTCGGAATGTCATAATTTAAGGGCTGACAACTTATGATTGAGCCAATATATTTCCAGGAATAAAGAAACAAATGAATATCTGAAGTTGTTGTCATTTAACATTTCAATTACTTGGGAACGATTGAGGTTCATAAAAAAATTAATTATCTAGTGAAAACTTGTTTAATTATAAAGGTCATCATCTCCATCATCTGGAAAGTTGTTAGTTTCTGTTCCTCCACCTCCTGGTGCGCTAGGGATATTTGAGCTAGCAGGGAATCTGAAAACAAAAAAAAATTAAATAAATACAATTCAACTGTTACAAGATAAACATAATAATAATAAGAATTAGCAAAAACGAAGATTCAATGCCGATACCACAAATCGAAGTCTACATCCTTCCATCCATTGGACACCATCAAAACCTAACTCTGCCAGATCAACTTTAGCAAAATTTTTCCACCTTTGCTTTGGTCTGTCTCTTGGGTGCTTACCATTTGGGAGAGCGCATATTAACTTTTAAGGAATTCTAATGATACTAAGCCTGGCGATTTTATTCACCTCAACGTAATCATTTCAATTACATTAACAGAACTTGTAATTCAGCGGTGTGTCCGTCTGTATTCTCATCATCATAAATCATGAATCATTCTTCTTAGGTCTGAATATTCTATACAATACTTTATTTTCTAAAACCTAAAGATGTTGCTGGTTCCTTAATGTAAGCAGCTAACATTTCACATCCATAAAGAACTGTAGAGAGGATAATGGTTTTTTAAATTCTGATTTTTAACTAGCTAAGTATTTTCACAACTGAAAAATAGCAAGCATTTAGCATGAAAAAATGGGTCTAGCTTACAAAAGGTTGGGTAATTCAAATTTCTTTTTACTTTCACTTACTTATATATGTAATATATAGTAAGGGTAAGTATTACGATTGTGAAAATTTTCGAATCTGAAATTTCAACAAAAATACATGTTTTCAGATACCTTGAGTCCAAATAACCAAGTCTCCCAAAATGGTCTGCCTGTGTGTGTGTGCATGTATGTGAACAGCCTAGAAAAACGAAAAACCGTATGAAACTGAAATTGCGTATTTGAGGTTTTTAAAATCCTTGTATGTTACAGTAACATTTCTGTCGAAATCAGCTAACCGGAAATGGTACTTAATGTAATCGATTTAACACATTTTTACGATTTTCTCAAACATGGCTCTAACGATTTTGATTAAACTCAGTATATCAGTGTATTGTTATGCAGTTTTTAATATAATGTAGGTTTAATTTTCATTTATGTTCTTTTGATGTTAATTTTGATTGAACAGGGCTTAAATGGCTAATTTTCATTATTAGCTGCCCCTAAAGTATCTTTAATTTTTTTTAGTTGAAATAACTATTTCACATTAATCATTGAGACAGAAAATAGTTAAATATAAAATATGAAAGAGTTTGATAATTAACTAAAGGAGTCCGAAAAAGAGAAAGTACGTATAATTAGCTGAAGAGATAAAACAATTGTATCATTTAAAGGAAACCTGAATTCTGCCAATTGCAATCTCATGCAACGGACTGATACCGGAAGAAACAATCTTCTCTGCAACAACTAGAACTACATCTCGGACAATCGAAAGGACGCAACAAGCGGTGTTGTTGGGAACAGCAAGTATAGTCAGGAAGTTCACAAATATTAAATAATTATGAAAATATATAAATGTAATTTTTGGCTGACCTAATAGGTCCTCGACTATTACATATTATAAACATCATTGTATATGTGGAAAATAAAGAGATAATAATAATAATGCTTTATTTATTCTGGGACGAGTCCCTTTAGAATAATACAGAAAGACAAAAATGTTGGCTAAGCAACCTTAGAGATACATAAACAAAAATATAGAGTAAGTAAATAGTCAAAATAAAAAATAGGATGAAGGATAGGATATAATATTTTTTAAGCATAATATTAAGTTCAGAAATATCAAAAACAATGCAAACATAAAATAAACTTTGAGATGAAAAAGTATAAATTTTCAATTAAAATTAATTTATTACATACGAAAATATAAATAAATCGATAAAAATTGGCAAAGAATCAAATAAAGTTCTAAAAAATTTATACAAAAATAAAAGAAGCTTAAAATTAAAGTAAAAATATTTCTGATGAGAAAAATTTATAATAGATATATTTCTAGAGAGAAAAAGTAAATTAATTGCAAACTGAAGGTGACTTGTATACAACGTTCAAGTGAAAACGTCCACATCCCTTGGTTTTCCTATGGCTACTACTGGGTATCCATCAGACTTTCTGCAGCAAATTTTACCCCCACTAAACCAGACATATTTTATTTTCGCAGTCACCCTCTTCTGCCTGGCTAACCAATAAAGGTGTTTATTGGTGGGTGTCATGGCTTCACTCACATAGACGCAGTGCTATTTGGACTTCAATTCCTGTACTTCATCGGTCAGGGTCCTCAGTAGGTCTATCACAGTACTAGGCTCAGTGGCTGGCAATGTACGTGACTCTGTTTTGCAATCGGTGCATTTCCATTTTTTACTGGCTTCTTTTAGGCCTTCTGATTCTGTAAAATCTATTTTTATGCATTTAGCATAAAAGATGTTTTGACACGTAACACAAGCCAATTTAATCTTGTCTTCTCGACCTACTGTTTTTCCGGAAATTTTGCAATTTACCATTTAAAAAAATAAAATAAATAAATGTCACAATTGCTTTAAAAGGATCAGAGAAAACGAAAGTGATAACAACAACAACAACAAAGGCACACCCTGTTTGTTTGGGTGAAGGCTATTTGTTGGGTAAATAGGATTAGGCTGCTGCTGGCTATCCCCACTACTCCAACTCAGCTGCTTCTATCACATGTCCTTTTTTCTTTCTTTTTCACTATATAACTATTACCACCACAAATAACTGTGTTGTAATATTAATGTACTATTACGAAACGAGGTAATTAAAAATAGTGAAAAAGTCTTTAAGTCACTGTTTAAATAATATAATATAGCGAGAAGCACTAGTTAGGCTCTTGACTGTTAGAGAGATAGTCTAAGACTCTATAATTTAGCTTTCCCCTATAATCTTTCACTTCCCCGTTGTCTGAAAATACTTACTTCTGCTAAGAAAAGGGTGGTAAGTGTAAGTCGTGTGCACCAGCTTTTTTTTATATTGTTAGGTATTATAGTGAATATAAAAAAATCCAAGTTTCTGCCCTTGAAAGCCTTGTGGGTTCGCTGCAGTGCTCAAAAAACCATTGAAATTTTAATTATTTATGGTTTTGGTTTACGCTAAATATCTCCTTTTTAAAGTGACATAGAAAAAAAAAATGTTATATTCAATCTTAAACAGCTTAAAATTATCTATCTTGTTATTTTTTTTTTTTATACCCAACAGGAAGTGAACTATCAAAATTTCAAAATGGGTAAAGTATTGAGCAAAAAAAATTAATCATGTTTTAATAAGTGCTGTAGCTCAAATTTTTAAATTAAATATTAAAATAAACACAATTAACTATAGCTTTTATAGAAAACATATTTCTCTAAACTTAACAACTTAAACACAAATAGGTAAAGAGAAATTAATGTTTTGAAATTCAAAAAAACTTTATAATTTTATTTTAACTGTTTTCCACTTATTCTAATGAAATAGGTCATAAAAATACTATTTTTTTTTGTTACTTTTAAATGAACTTTATTCTAACACAGTTTTAAATAATTAATATTATTCAAGTTACATACTTTTGTGCTGTTACGGATTGCTACCATCTGAAGACTGTTCGCTTTCTTCACAAGAAATTGTTTTGGACAATTAAATTATTGTATTAATATTTGTTCGTTAATACAATCAAAATAATGAACTAGAATTGTTATCATAACACTATAACAATACCACTTATGAGTATTGAATGATGCAGCAGAGGACTCTTGGTGCCTATACCAGTGCCGCTTTTCTGCTGATTAATTGTAATTTCTATGTAGCCACTTCAAATATTCTAAAAAGTAATCAGTGTTATAAAAAGAGAAATATATTCTCCAGATGTTTTATTTTGGGGCGTTTTTCATTATTGTTGGCCATTTATTTACAAATGACGATTGATTTTCAATCTCAATTTCAACGACTTGAAAAAATTAACTTTATTGGTGTTTTTTATTGCAAGGGTCAATTAAATTTCTAAATATCCAGCTTTAATAAAAGGCAAATTATGACAAAATGAAGCCAAATTTTTATCTATCTCACTCTGATATTTAGCATACAACAAAATATCTGGTGCGCGCATCACACTACTTCCACTTACCGCTTTACTTCGAAAAGCAATTCTTGTCTTGAAAAAATTGGGCTATTACAAGAAGTTTTTGAAGTACATTTTTAATGCAGCTTAACTTTATCAACATATTTTTAAATTTCGGTCGTATTCATCAATACAAAAACTAAATAAGACCGTCACAATAACATAAACCCTATTTATAATATCGATTGTAGTCTACCTTATATGTAACTGCATAAGTATTTGAATCACATAACTCCAATCTCTGAGCTCTACAGACTAAGAGAGATTTGAAAGTACATATATTTAATGATGAATTAGTAAGGATGCTACTAAATAGTAAAAATTATGGTTCCAAACCTCTACCACTTTTTATATGTATTTAAATTCTTATTTTTTGCCCTTTAAAATCATACCAAAATACAGTTACTTGCTTTGAAATATTGCATCAATAGGTCAAACGTTATCACACTAATTGTAAGTGTATAATGTGATTTCACAAAGGAATTTTTTTTTAATAGATCGATGATGTATGCCTAATTATTTATATATAATATCAGATCTGGAGGTATTAAAGTACAGTAAATGTATTTAAGGTTGTAAGTATATGTTTTACACGAACCATGAAATATTTATAAATTTCACTTTTTCTTTCACACAAGTACAATGAAATAGTTTTTTTTTTAACAATGTCATTTCAAAACTAAATTTTTCATTTAGTAAGTTTTGTTTAATTTTCTTTGCAACATGTGGTTTCAGTTAAATAATATTAGCATTCACAAATTATTATTTATAATTGTTCGTCACTCTCCATTACATTATATGACTTTCTGTACTAAATATTGTTTTTTTCCAAAATTCTCAGCTTTCCAACAGTATATTATATGTATATCTTTTGACTAGTATTTCCGGAGATTCATTTTCGACCTAAATAAACATTTTCCCTTTTTTCTCCATTTTCCATTAATAAAATTCTTTCATACATTATATTTAGCCATTTTTCATTGTTACTGTCAATAAAAGAGAGTAATTTTTTAAAAAATAAACCAAATTAATGGTACTTTAGAGGAAGATGAACATTTGGCATTTAAGCCCTGTAAAGTGACATCAATGTGGATAAGACGTAGCTGATATAAAAAAGAACTTAATAATACACTGATATGCCAGTTTAATTAAAACCATTAAGAGCCGTTTTTGAGAAAATCGTAAAAATGTGTTACGTTGATGATATTAAGTGCCACTTCCGGTTAGCCGATTTTGACGAAAAAGTTTCTTTAACATCGGAGACATATAAAAAGCCTTAAATATAAATATGCAATTTTATTTTCTTACCACTTTTCATTTTTGAGCTGGACTGCTAACATATACATACAGAACATTTTGCGGGACTTGGTTATTTGGACTCAGGGGACCTTAAAACATGTATTTCCGTTGAAAACTCAGATTCCAAAATGTTCACGATCGCAATACTTTCCCGAACTATATATTACATACATAGGTAAGTGAAAGTAAAAAAGTTTGAAATTTCAATGGAGCACTGCAGCGAATCCACAAGGCTTTCAAGAGGGCAGAAACCTGGATATTTTATATTCACTACACACTTAACCATATAAAAAAGAAATTTCAATTACCCAACTGTTTGAAAGATAACATGTCTAATTTGACTGAGCTATACAGATGGTGTGGGGATTTATTTTGGAGCTTTTCATGTAGAATTCATAAATCGTTATGGGTGACTACCTGCTACAGCCTTTCTCTGGCTGCCTCGACCATTTTCATTCTTGTTTTGCATTCTGTGTGAAACAACTGGGTGTTCAACTGCTCTGAGTTTATAAACATTTTATTTAGTTTAGTCTAGTTATTGTAGTCAGAAATTAGATCAAATTGGATTATTTAGTTTGTTATATGGCCGTATAGAATTAATTATTTTAGTTAGACTTTAGTCATTGGTTTATTGCTGCGAAAGCTGATGAATTCATTACTACTGCCAAAAGAATTATAATGTAAAAAAATATTTGGCACGATACCAATGTAGAATGTCGCAATTGTAAAATTTTTCTTTGTATTGACAAATGGTTCGAAGAATACCATACAAAATTAAATTATTAAATAAATATTTAAACGTATAAAAAAAAAGTTTTAACTCTGCCAGTGTCGGTCCATAGCCCGAATAATAAAGGAGAATGGAAACAATAAAATAAGGTTAAAAGATAGCAGTAAGAACCAGTAATGAAGGGTGGAAAGCAGGTAAAAAGTATGTAGCACAGGCTAGTAACTGTCTTACTTAGTACTGTGGTAGACGTAAAGCTTGTCACACGCACCAGTGAAAAGGTAAAAAATAATTTAATCATGATAATTGTTAAAAAACAGAGCGTGCATTGTACGCTCCGTCATTGTAAATAGGGATATTACAGGATGTTAATTTAATTTTAATTTTTACCCTTAGTAGTTATTTCTTACATCTATAAAATTATAATTCAATTATTTTCAGATTTAAACCAAAAAGAGTCGCATTATTGCAACAAAATATGTTTACTTAGATGTGGTATACAACCACTCCTAATTTATATTTATATCCAGCGGAAATGTTTACCTTTGCTGATACTATACTGTACTGTTAAGTTTCCCTTTTCCCTAGTCAAAACCGATAGGAATAGGTCATGTAAAAAATACAAAACACAATATGAAATTAAAATTTCAGGCATTTTTATGATGATATAAACAGGTAAGTCCAATCCAAAGCGATAAATATTTTAACTGCACATAGATTCCTTGAATAAGCTTGTTTATGAATCTTAATGGTGGGCGTATACTCCCGCCGTATCTCCTTGGGTAATCAGTGAGCGGCAGTATATGCCTGCTGTGGTCGCTGAAATGTTAAACCTTTTTCGGTATATATCATCTCTCTAATGGCATGCTCAAATGCTAAATTAAATGTGAAAGTGAATCACCTATTTTTTTCTTCTGCTACAAGGAAAGACATACAAGACATGATACAGTGGGTACTGAAAAATTAACAACTAAGCATAAAAAAAAATAATTGATAAATACAAATAAAACAACCTTTTAAAAAACAAAAAATTCACTTTTGCTGTATTCCTTTCTACACTAGATATTAGCTGTCACAAATGAATCAGATATAAAAACAATTAAGGAGAGGGAAATAAGAAATCTTACCTAAAATTAGTTCCAAAACCTCTTGATTGTTGTAATGTCTGAGCAAACATTTCATACTTGCGAATATCATTATCAGTGACTGATCGCCTAGCAAACCTCATTGCCTCTTCAAAATGTTCACGAGTTATTTCAGGAACAGGATCTTCATCATCCATCTAGAATGAATGAATGATTATAAACACAACATAATACATAACTTTTATCCTAAAGAAATAGAAATGACTATAAAAAGTTTCCCATTTTTTTTATTTCTAAATTATTCATAGAATTTTTAAGATCTGCAAGAGAATTACTAGCAAAAAAGTTGTCTATTGTTATATTTCAATTTATGTATAAGAGTTTATGTATGATTCCATGAAATTTTCCGCCAGATTAGACACTACTTAAAACTAATACATAGCTTTCCAGCTTCATACTATGGAGCAGGTAGGGTAATGCATGTCCATGATATTTCCTAATGGGGTATATGCATGCTGAGCACATCAAACCTTCCCTGATCCTAAGGTAGGGGGGAATAAGACCTAGGTGATGGTTTTAAAAGAAGGGGGTATTAATTTAATTATTGATCGAAATAAGGTTAACATTAAAAAATGATTTAATCAGAAGAAAATGAAATACAAAATAAAAGAAATATATTATTGCTGTTGAGTGGGGGGAGGAGGGTGCCAAATTATTTACATTGCTCATTAATTGGTTGGTAATGAATTTGGTTATGGTTATTTGACTGATGATTATGAGGATTGAGTAGAAATATTAAAACTATGATACATACTACTATATATTATAATATCGGGTTGTCCAGAAAATAATGCAGGATTTTGAGTTTTCTTAAAAACCCCTCTACTCTATATAACAAACTGTTTACATTTACTGGATTATTCATTTGTACGAATGGCAATGGAAAACGGCAAAAATAATTCTGTTATATAAAAAGGGTAATAAGGATGGTTAGGGAATAAATCAAAAGTGATATTTATTCTATAAATATTTAATAGTTTCACATATTGTTGAAATATCCATATGTGATTAATTGTTATTGTTGTTATAAAAAGTCTAAAATCTCTGTTTAAAATTAGTAGTGAAATAAAAGTAAGTTTATTTTAAATACAGAGTACCCAACTTTATTCTATTTCGAACCTAGGGATCAGTTATAATGGTTAGTTATATATTGACCCCTACCCAAACATAAGCTTGATATAGAGAATTAGCAGCCTATCTTCCTTTATTCAACCATGGCAAACGTTTTCACCAGTGTCATTATGCAAAGGCTCACAAAAATAATTATGGAATGTATAGACAAAGAACAAGCAGGATTTAGAAAAGGATTTTCAACAGTGGACCTATTCCAGGCTGTAAATCAGATTATCGAGAAAGCAAATGAATACAACTTCCCTCTATACCTTTGTTTTCTTGACTTCAAGAAGGCATTTGGTAGCATTCTACATGCAGGAATATTTAAGGCACTGAGAACAATAGAAATAGAGCAAAATTTGTTACAATAATCAGAGAACTTTACAAGAAAATTTCAATATATATCACGACGACAGGGAAAAAAGGCTAAAGTTTTAGGGTGTGCGGCAAGAGGACCTGTTATTCCCACTTTTGTTTATTGTGGTATTGGAGATGGTATTCTGGCATCTTGGATGGGAAAACACAGGAATTAATTAAGTGGCAAATGGTTAAGCAACTTACGTTTTGCAGATTACATCATGCTTTTTGCCAAAGACATGCAACAACTGAGCGAAAAGATCAAGCATCTTTTAAAACTGTGTGGAGAAAATGGCCTTTACTACAACTATCAGAAGACTAAATTAATGAAAAATAGGGGAAAAGAAGAATGTAAAGTAAACAACCACAGTTTGAAATATGTTGAGGAGTACATCTACTTAGGCCAGTTAGTATCATTCGCAGATAGAGGAACAAGGAAATACAGAGGAGAATGGCACTCGGCTGGAATAAATTTGGTCCCTCAAGCACATTATAAAAAGAAATATAAGTATTGGCCTAAAAAGACAGGTCTTTGACAGTTGCATAATTCCAGTGATTACTTATGGATGCCAAGCTTGGTCATTGACAAAAGATCTAGAGAGGAAGATCCAGGTGTGGCAGAATGACATCGAAAGATGTATTATGAATATGAGGAAAAGGACAGAGTGAGAAATGACTGGTTGAAAAAGAAACAGGACTCACAGATACCCTTAGGCGGAAACGAGTCAGCAAATGGAAATGGGCTGGGCGTCTATTTCGGGGCAAAGATAATAGATGGTCAAGAATAGTCACATACTGGACTCCATACGATATGGAAAGAAAAGGTGGAGCGATGCGTTTAAGCAGTTGGCAGGAACCCTCTGGTGGAGATCTGCTAGAGACAGGGATGTCTAGTCTAGAAGGAGAAGTGGATGGAACTCGCATCCCAATAGGGCTAGTCACCCCCGGAAGTGCTGACTATTACACCCCTAAGGGAAGGACAGGGGAGGAAGACGGGAAAAATAATCAATTTATTTTCACACTTAAAGAATATACTTATTGAAATGTGTTATGTATTAATGTTTGCATAAATAAATATATCATCATTTCACTCAATAGATATGAACAAGTAGAAGCCGGCTGCTGGAGTAATAATAATAATAATACTTTATTTATTCTGGGACGAGTCCCTTTAGAATAATATAAAAAGACAATAATGTGGACTAAGGAGCCTTAGAGATACATAAACAAAAATATAGAGTAATTAAATAGTCAAAATAAAAAAAAATAACAGAAAAAATTATAAGTTACTAACTAATTTAATAATAATATTTTATTTATTCTGGGACGAGTCCCTTTAATATACAGGAAGACAGAAATGAGGGCTAAGGAGCCTCAGAGATACATAAATAAAAATACAGAGTAATTGAAGTCTTGGTAAAAAAAAATAAAATATATATATATATATATATATACACACACATATACATATAAGTTGCTTTCCAATTTTGATCAGTTGATAATAAAAAAAATAGATAAACAAAAATTGGAGTACAAATAATGAAGATCGAACTAATAATTTATGTACATATTTTCAGTAGTATCTAATTACGATTTTATGGGGACTGGATGAATAAGAAATGATTGAACAGGCGGGATTTAAAGGTAGGAAGGGTATTAGATTGACGGATATGGGAAGGGATGGAGTTCCATAGAGATGAGGATCGAATAATGAACGATTTGTCGAAAACAGCGGTTCGGTGGGCCCTTATGTATAAATCAGAAGAGCGGGAACGAGTATTGCGGGAACGAACAGAGGATTTGAATTGAAGGAGCTCGGAAATGTATGAGGGACGGTGGGATTGGATGACTTGAAAGAGGAAGGATGCCAGGAAATACTTACGACGGTAGGAAGGATAAAGCTACTTTTTATAATGTAAAGTTAAATTCTCCGATTGAGGGACTGGCATGTTGACATCTGTGATGCATCTCTATGGCCACACTCCTGATGCTTAAATCTAGCTAGACATATTCCTGTATATGTTGGGTCATGGAAACCATTTTGTACGGCCACTTTCACTGGTGCATTACACTTTAAATCCTCAGGTCCTAGGTCTTCCCAGATGGGACTCTGTTGTTCCTATTCACCAATAGATGCTGTCAGCGGCACATCAGTGTTGTGCACCATTTAACATGCTCATAATTATTGGCTATACAGAGTGCCCTTAACAAAACGTCTCTAGCGTCCTTTCAAACTCTCAAATACTAAGTTGTTTTGAAAAAATGTATATATAAATTTTTGAACTAGATTTTGAAAGCTGAATTATTTGCCTTCCTACCCATATCAATAATGTTTATACTTTACGTCTTTATGGAGAATAAAGAAAGAAAAACTCCTCAAAGGCTGTTTCAATATTCTACTAATAATATAGCTATACACCAAATATAGGTTCTTTTTCTGAACCAGACGGATAATTAAAGTTAAATTTACAACCACAAAATCAGATATGTTCAAGAGATTTGGACTGAATGTAAGAACAAACAATATTTTTCAATATTGTACTCATAATATAGCTGTACACTAAATATAATTTTTTTTTCTAAACTGGATAGTTTTTCCTCCCTAAAAAAATTATAAATCATTGGACGTAATTTTGAAAAAAAAAAATGAAAATTAATTTTTTCAAAAAATTATTAATGCTCGAATAAATTTTTATTCAGTGGATATTTCTTTAGGATAAATATTTATTCACATATTTTTATTGAATAATTTGATTTTTCATGTAAAAATACTGAATTTTTTAAAGAATAAATCAGAACTTTAGGTTATGCTAGGAATCATCAATCATTAAAATATTAGTGATAAAAAATTGATTGACTAAATTATTCAAATAAAAATTCATTCAAAAATGCCCAACTGTGGTGTATATGGGCCTTTAAAAATTTTCTTATTTTATCCCCAAAAATATTAGAGTAAATAAAAAACATGATACTATAGATTGTCCCAGTGCTATTTTAATTCTTTACTTTTTTTTTTATGCACATTAGGCAAGTGAACAGCAATTTAAATAGCTTTAAGAGAGAGGAATACGATTCACCATTGCTCGGAAAGACAGTTATTCCACAACCAGATCAGACATTCAGTACGATCAGCACCTAGTGGTGGTACTGTAAACATGCCCATTGGATTTTAAGTACTAAGTCTAATAAATAAATCATGAAGGTAAAAAGTTTTTTTGTTTTGAATGGCTAATAAGAGTATAGTTTTTCATATTATCCAAGATTATTATTTCATCTATCTGATATATTATAATGATTGGGTATTTTAAAAAGAATATAAATGGTAAATATGTACTTACATCCATTCGTGTAGCTCCATCTAATCTACTTTTTTCTCTTTTAATTTCCGCTTCAATTGACTGCCTGATGGCAAGTTTACAAGCTCTTTGACATACCTCGGTAAGATCGGCTCCAGAATAACCAAATGTAACTTTGGCAATGTATTGTAAATCAACATCCTGAAATTTCAATAATCAACAGAAAATGTTACGTTTGCAAAAATATACAAGCATTTAATTCTATAGTAATTTGGAAAAGATCTTAATCCAGTCACAATTACTGTTATAACAAATAACAGAAGAAACATCCAATACGTAGAATTATCTTATAAATCTACAGTATGTTACTGAAAACAAAAATTAGACATTAAGATATTAATTCGAGTAGCCTATTTATTATATTCTACTGAGAATGTTAAAATATTACTGTCTTAAAATGCCAATGAATAAGAGAATAATTCCGGGCATACTTAACATTAGATAAATAAAATAAATAAACAAATTGAAAAATAGGGAAAACCAAACCACTAAACCATGGTTAAATATTTTATCCTGACATATCCCTCAACAATGATGTTTGTCCAGAGATCCATTCATTTAAACAGGAAAAAAAGAATATTATTTTAAGTTAGCTTGGTGTGGTAATAAAATAAACAAATTGAAAGAGGAAAAGAAAATGTGGATGATTGAAATGAGGATAAACCGATAAGAGTGTTTCTACAAAATATGGCCCACTAACACTTTAATTATTTGACCTAAATGGTTTTATGTAATTCAACAATTAAATTAGAAAAATATTAATTATTCATGTTTCCAGATAATGTATAAATTAGTAAAATAATCTGAAAAAGGTCTAGTTATTTATTAAATATGAAATTTTAATCACTATTTCCTTCAGTACTCCCATAATCTTCTTTAGCTGAATTCACACTATGTAACCAAGTGCATTATGTAACAGGTTTATTTGAAGTAAAACACTAACAAAATAACATGATAATATAAATACGGCTTGCAGAATTTCAAGCCTCTTTCTGTTATATCTTCTCTGAATAAAAAGTTTCATTTGGATATTTGCTGACCAATGTTTAGTAACAAAAAGTCGAAATCATAACTTATAATCAAGGCCCAGATTTGTATGCAGTAAAAAAATCACAGAATATGCTATATAATATGCAATAAAAAACTCTGAAATATGCAATAAAAAAAACATGAAAAATGCAGAATGATCTCTAAACTTACTAATTACTTGATTACTAATATGCCAGTAACATATTTAAATATAATAATGCGCCTACCATTTGGATCTTTTGAAATAAAAATTAAATTATGGAAGAGTTAAAAGTTACAATAATTTCAGGTTTTTTTAAATATCTAAACTAAAGATTGGAAATAACTAAGCATATACGGCTAATAAGGATATAATATAGTAATAATAATAATAGGATACATTCAAATCAAATTGAGATCTTTTCAAACCAAATTGGGATTTTCACAAAATTATATTTAGAATTTGCTATTTCAAATTAAGATTTTTTCAAATCAATTTAAGAATTTTCATAACAGAAAATGGATTATTTAATTGGAAAATGGGAGTATTTCAGTTTTCTTATTGAATTAATTAAACATAGAACCTATTATGAATAATAAGGTTAGGCATTATAGCATTTATTTTATAAATTTTCAAATTAAAGTTCAAATTTTCTATAAGTAAAAATAAAAATGGGTTATAAACAATATCTTTACAATTATTTTTTTTATATTAGAAACATGTGAACCAGTGTGGAGATAAGATCTGTTTTGTGAAGTAGACCTTTTGGAGGAGTATTATTGGGTGTTTTGCATTATAGGGCAAAGGACATTTTTTAAGGGACCACCCACCCTGAGTAGAGTATCCCTAGACTGATTAACAATTTATTTCTAAAACTCGTTTGATACTACTTAAGAAATTAACCATTCTTAAATTGATAATGAGAGCATCATTTTTGTTATTTCCATTTTTAGACAGTCTAGAGATATTCAGGGTGGGCGGGTAACTCCAGGAGAGTTACAGGAAGATGCTAGTGAAGGATTGCAATAGTGAGAAGGAAACACTGGTTGAAATATCAGCCACTTCACTTTAGCTATAATACATAACTAACAATCAACCCATTGAACATCCTATTTATACTCTAAATAGCATATACTGATAAAATAAAATTCAAAAAGAAATCACGAGAATTATGCCACATAAAGGGTTAGGGTTAATCAAACTTAAAAAACTTAAATTGAAAGTTAAACTTTTACAAAAAAACCAAAGCTTAACTACAAAAAAGTTCCTTTGAAACTAATAAACGGAAAGCCTTGATGTATAGGTGATGCCACAAATCAATAAATGGAAAAAAAATATACACAATATAGTCAATAAATAAAGATTTCATAAAAATGTTAAAAGATGCAACTTAGTTGAAGACCTTATGATATACCAGCTACAAACCTTAGCAACAGGTGACTTTCTTAAGTTTGCTCTGAAAATGGCTTCTCTTGACTTCTCATCAGGTAATGGTATATAAATGAGCTGATCTAAACGACCAGGTCTCAGTATGGCAGGATCAATTATGTCTGAAACACATTATTAAAAAGTTAAGAACACATGTCTATAAGTATATTGTAATAATTGTATCTATATTTACTAAAATTAATCAACATTTACTTTTAAGTAAAAATAATAATTTGGATTTTCTCTCAAATCTATCAATAATTTTTTCCATGCTGGTTAGTGTCTAAATCTCACAGCCATATATTAGAACTAGATTTATCATAGCATTGTATTCCCTTAATTGGAGATTTCTAGGGATTAAAATACCTTTGAAAGGGGGAAGAAAACTCTGTTTAGGCTAGTTAAAGACTGCACTATTTCTGATCATTAATCATTCATTGAAGTTATTGTGGAGCCTAGGTATTTGAATTTGTCTATCAAGAACGATTTCCCTTCTACACAGATAGAATTTTTGTTGATTCTATCGATCCATCTGCTTTTTGGTCATCTATTGAGACATTCATTGTTATGTAGAGGCTTCCAGATGAATTTCTCAGAACTATATGCCCTGCTCATCTTAACCTCCGTGCCTTCATATCACGAGATATTGATTGACCAGTTTCTGTAAGTAGTTCCTTATTGGTCTTTCTTCTCCTTGTGTTAGTACTCTGATATCAGATTGCTCTGGTTATCATGTGGAAGATTTTTTTCTCAATACTTTTTGTTATTCTCAAGGGATATCGTCCCAGAATGAAGTTATTTTTCTATCCATCTACTTTTTTGTAGAGCATTTGTTAAGTGTCTAGATCTCACAGCTAATTAGAACTGGCTTTATCATAGCATTGCAAACTCTTAATTTGAGATTTTTTAGGATTTCAATTACTTTGAAAGGGAGAATAACTATCAGTTTGCACTTCTTATATGCTGGTCTATTTTCGACTGTTGGTCATTCATTGAGTTTATTGTGGAGGCGAGGTACTTGAATTTGTCTACTCTTGGGAATGATTTCCTTTCTACTCAGATCCTGTTATTAGGGTGGAATTTTGAATTTAATATCATATATTTTGTTTTGACTTTATTTACTTGTAAGCCGGTTGACTCTGCTTTTCTTATCAGTGTTTTCATGACAGTTTCTCAATGTCATATTGGTTACTTCCTAGGACAGTTAAATAATCTGCATATCTAAAGATATTATGATTCATTCCAACTTGCAACCTCCATTTTCGCGTGATGTTCTTATCACCTTCTCCAGAGCTAAGTTAAACAAAATCGGTAATAATCCATCTCCCTGCCATGATCCAGTTCGAACTTTGAAGGATTCAGATCAGAGATGGGAATTTCGATTCTTTTAATTGAATTGATTCACAATGATTCAATTATTGTGGTGAATTGATTCTACATTCTTATTGAGTTGGCAAATAAGTCCTTTCGGCTTTTCTGATTGTTTTCATGTCACTATGATACACTTCTTATCTGATAAATTAATTCCTAATAGGATTGTTTATCCTGTTAATATGTCAACAGCTATATCTGTTAACTCTTGTTGAAACTAGCTTAGTATTGTGTTTGCTATTGCACTGTGAATATGGAAGAAAATATCATTCATTATCGGCATATTTAGTTGTATTATTTTAAAAAAGATAAGGGTACTGCAGAAGCTCATAGGAAAATTCGCAGTGTTTATGGGGATGATGCCTTAACCAAATGCACCTGTCAAAATTGGTTTGCTAAATTTTATTCAGGAAAATTTTTACATCAATGATGCTCAACATTCAGGTCGCCCACATGAAATTGAAACAAGCAATGTTCAATTAATATTTTCCCTTAATCTTTAACTTGTTCCTTATTCACCTACTCTTCACATGCAGTTCTGCAGGTCTGACACCTGGTTAGACCTCCATATCTCTGACTCACCCCTTAAAACCCTTCCCTCCTCTGAACACCCCGTACCCTTCTTTCTATCATCACACGACCTGATCCTTTTTTCTTACGACACCCATGAAATCACTTACCTCCAAAATAGTTTTATATCGCAATTTAAACCTCCTTTCCAATGAATCCCTTCAACCTGACCTTGATTCTGTCTAATAGGATATCATATTTTCCTACAACTCCATTGACCCTGATATCCACTCTTACCTCAAACCTAAAAACCATATTAGACATCCATGCTCCTCAGAAAACCAGAACTATAAGTTGTCCCACTACTCCTTGGCTGACTCCTGAAATAAAGAGAAGGAATGCAGCAAGGCACAAATACCGTCAAACCCGTTTGCCTGTTGACTATGCATCTTTCAAACAACTCCGCAATGAAACCCAATCCATAATCCGACTTGCTAAATCCAACTACTTCCACAATGCTCTGTCCAATGCTGCCAATTCCAAATCAAAATGGAAACTACTACGAAATCTATCCCTACCAGAATCCAATAACCTCATTTCCTTCCCTGTGACTCCAGATGATCTTAATGACCACTTCTTATCTTTTGCTTCCAATCCTTCTCCAACTAATGATATAGAACACCACAATTTCAATACAAGAACTCCTTTTTTTCTCATGTGTCCTGTGATGAAGTACTCTCCACTACACTAACATCTCAAACAAATGATTATGGTCCTGACAATATTTCAGTAAAACTAATAAAATCCAGCCTTCCTACCCTTATTCCCGTACTTCACCATATCTACAGCTTTTCATTACAAAATTCCATATTCCCCTCCTCCTGGAAAACTGCACTAGTTTCCTTCCTTTCCGATCGATCCCAGTATGTAGTCGTCCCTAATCAACCTCTTTCTAAGACACTCCTCCTCCCTCTCCTGTGGTATCCCTCAGGGCTCCTCCTTATCTCCTACTCTGTTTGCTATTTACATTAATGACCTTCCCCTCATGATCCGTCACACCCAATACCACATCTATGCCGACAATTTCCAAATATACCTGTCCTTTCCCCCTTCTGACCTATTAGCCGCCATAAAAATACTTCAAGAAGACTTAAATACAATATGTAACTGGGCAGGAGCTAATAAGCTGAAGTTGAACGCGGAAAAGACAATCCTATATCATATCAAAAGGCAATCCTAATAGGCTCCAATCACCTCCTTAAAACCGTTCCTAACATTCCAACCCTGTTCCTACATGATAATCCCATCAAATTTTATCCCACGATAAAAAAACCTTAGAATAATCTTTGATCAAACCCTTTCCTGGAAAAACCATGTATCCAACATCTCCCGATGTACCTTTTCCAACTTATAGCATTTAAATAGCCTCTGTCACCTTTTTTTGACCAGACTCCTGGTCACCTCCTTAATATTTTCCCACTTTGACTATTGCTGCACGGTATATGGAGGTGTCTCTGGGGAACTCGAGGAGAAACTAAAACGTTTGATAAATTGCTTTGTACAATTCATCTTCGGGACGCCCATGTTTCCTTTTTTATGAAGAGTTGAAGTGGCTTCATCCTTCCTACAGCCGTAAGTATTTGCTGGTATCCTATTTCTTACAAGTCATTCACTCCCGCCGTCCTTCAATTTAAATCCTCTGTTCATCCCCGCAATACCCGTTCCCGGTCTTTAGATTTATATATAATGGCCCACCAAACCAATGCATTCGATAAATCTTTTATTATTCGATCCTCATCCCTATGGAACTCCATCCCTCCTGACATCTGCCATTCCAATACTCTCCCTACTTTTAAATCCCGCTTATTCAATCACATCCTTTCCATCCAATCCCTATTAACTTGTAAATAGAAATTTCTGTAAATATGTATATATATTATTATTTTATTTTCATTTCATCGTTCTTTCATTTATTTATTTTTCTTTTTAATCGATTTAAGTTAGATTTTTTTTTTTTCTGTTATACCTATTAGTTTACTTTTTAAATACATTTATATATATCTGAGGCTCAAAAGCCTACATTTTTGTCCTTGTTAATTGTTCTAAAGGGACTCGTCCCAGAATAAATAACAACATTATTATTATTAATTGAAAGTCATGTGATGCGCACACCAGATTTTTTCATTAGAATTCCAATTTAGTAACGATATTGGCATGTGTACTATTTAGTCTTCATGCGTCTGCCTGAAAATTAAAACTTTCTGTATCTGTATCTAGATTTTTAGTGATATAAATTTATTCTAAAAATTTTCGTTTAAAGCTATTTTTTTCACTAGTTCATACTTTAAATCTAAGTATTAAACTAAACAGAGATACTGGATATAACAGAAAGTGCAAGAGGCACATGTATCTTAAGAGTGAAAGCTCTTTCATCAATATGCACTTGTATTTTGTATATGCACTTGAAAGGCCCCTTACATATTGCATTGAGCTTTGATGTCTTTTGTCTACCAGCACATGGTCAATTTGGTTCCTGTGAGGCTTACCCAGGTGTACTTTTGTAGGAACATTATACTGCTAACAACTTAAACTTTAGCTGCTGCTAGATTGATACATCTCAATCCATTTTCATTGCTATTTTCGTGAAGGCTTTGGCCAACAATAATGGGCCAGAATTGGGTTCTCTTCCTATCTTTTCACAATATAAACCTTTGCTTCTCCTTCAATCTGACCTTGGTTCTTTCTAATGGGACATCAGATATTCCTATAATTCCACTGATCTAATGGTATCTACCCTAATCTCAAATCTACAATCCTTATTATATGAAATCTAGAACCTTACTATTTTTTTTTTTTTTTTTGCTTTTAGTTTTTTTTTTTTTTTTTTTTTTTATATAAAATGCATTGAAATTCAATACAAACAAGATTGGAATTGACCTCAGGAAATTTTTAAAAATAATAAAAGTAAAAGGTTTTGTAATTTCGTTTTTATTATTGAATTGTAATGATTTAATAATTTGTCTTATGTTTTCTATTATGCACTACCTATCTGCACCTATTGGGCATACTATTTATAATTTCAATCATTTCACAAGAAACTTAATACCATAAACAAGGTAGTACGACTCTCAGTTACTGAAGGTTATGAAGCTGCAGAAAATCCCGAACAAACAAATGAAAAAATAGGGTATTTTAATTTATCAAAATAAAGATGTTTTCTAAAGATAAGTTTTCCATTGCAAGAGATTTTATCTAGGTTAAATAGCATATTTATGAAAGATGGATATATATCAAAATATAGGATCAGACATTTTATACCTGGTCTATTAGTGGCTCCGATTATAAAGACATTTTTCTTGGCTCCCATACCATCCATTTCTGTGAGTATTTGGTTGATAACTCTATCAGCTGCACCTCCAGCATCTCCGACACTTCCACCTCTTGATTTAGCAATGGAATCCAGTTCATCGAAAAAAAGAACACATGGTGCAGCAGCTCTAGCCTGAAATAATTCCGTAATTTTTACTTATCCATACTTAATTGTGTTTATTTATGATATAAATGATCTATGATCGATTAAGATAAATCAACATTGTATCATTAATGTAAATATGAATAAATTAATATAAATATTTTTATTTTACTAGTGGTTAAAAATTAATCACTAATAAATATGACCATACAGTAATGTTGACAATAGCAATAATTTAATAATTCAGATTTTCAATTTTTCTAAAAATTGATTAAAACTTGAAAAACTTCAACTTATGTTAAAAGTTCAGGAGCTAGCAATTTTTCAACTACATCATATGCAGCAGAAGGTTTGACTACCAGATATGGTAGTCAGATATCTCTGACTATCTGATATTGACTATCAGATATCCGATGATTTAGTTCAAAGACAAATTTTGTAATTTCCTAAAAGTACATCATAATCGGCAAGTTTATGAAAAAGTTAATATCAATCATGAGACTTCCCTGAAAAGTCTTGCATACAACCTGATAAAATATCATTGTGGATTGGACCAACCAGACAAATTTAAATTATGAAAAAAATTACGTAATAAGTAGTATGAGTAATTTTTATGTGAACAAATAAAAACTTGCAATGACAGATAAATGGTTCCAATTTCTCTTAAAATGGTATCGTCATTCATCAAGTCTAGTTTTGATTATTTTAAAATCTAGACAAACTCTATATAACACACAGAAAGAGAAGTAAATTTCCTACAATTCTACGTGGAAATAATTTTTTTAAATACTCTGTGTAACAGTAATGCATTTATTGATTTATTGATAACAGTCTCTATTATTGGTTTTAATTTTGGATTTTTAATACACCATTTATCTATTTAATTTCCATAGGCAAACATTATTTTATTATCATAATATTCAGCTTATCATTATTTTCATTTATAGAAGTTATAATTTTTATTGTAATTGTGAAATTGATTTAATCTTTTTTTCTTTCTTTATAATCATGTATAAATATAGGAAAATAAATGTTTAATCCAAATATCGTTACAGTTCACTTTTTACTATAATTTGTTTTAATCAAATTGTCATTAAGCTTAATTTAAACCCAGAAGGAGCTTAACAATCACTATACTGGAATAACGTGAAATTAGAATATACCAAATCATACATCTATCTTGTAGTCCCTTTTCTATCATCAGCAAAGTTTTCCCAAATGATAGACATTAACATTAACACATTAGCATGTGCAAGAATGATACAGATCCTATAACGAGGTATACATGACACCTGGCACTAAACCTAACTAACCCTCTTTGACTGTCTCTTCAACTCTTCTTTAAGTGGCTGCGATCTGTAGCTTTTATCACTTGCAAGTTGTGGAAACTGTGCAAACCAAATTTCTGAAATCTTTATTCTTCTGGCCTAAAACTACACTCAATTATATATTACGCCTAGAAACAGGTCACCTCCCACTTTCTAAAATAGTCCCACCCACAACCCTGTCTATAGGAGCACTTGCAACTTCACATATCTTCAACCGGAAGAATATTTTATACAATTTAAATATCCAAAAACATAGTCATAAGCCAATTGAGAGTCCCACGCAACGCAAACTTATAAATTAGTTTACAAAACAAGTGCTTAATTTTCAAGCTCTGTGAACCATGTAAACTTTGTCTGAAATCTATCGAAGATACTGTAAAATATCTTCTACTCTGTCTGTCCCTCTTGTAACTCATACAGAGAACGATTCTTAAAAGGATTATACATCTGAAAATGATAAACTTAACTCGAAAACATTTTAAATTTCAACAGTTTAAATAAAATGAGGCATGCATTGCTGTTCCGGGCATCAATCTTCAATAACTTCTAATCTTCTATAGGTTAGTCCACTCAATACTTCTTCATGAGTTTGTTTTTGTTGGTGTAGTTTTTCTATTGATAAATATGACCAAAATTCACAAATCTGTTCTTGAAGGTTTGGCTCCATTAAAGGTGCACGCCGAAAACTTCTTGTAATAGCTCAAAGTTGCCAGACAATAATTTATGTTCAAAGAAGAGCGATAAGTGAAGGTTTTGTGATGTGTGCACCAGATATTTTTTTTTAATATTGAATAAATCCAACTTAAATAAATATTTTTTGTTGATACACTTTATTTTTGTTTCTTCTTATTTTTAATATTTGTTTGAATATTTTATGAAATATAACTTGCATAATTTGGAAAGGAATGATAAAAAGTACAAACCTTATCAAAAATATCACGGACATTAGCTTCGGATTCTCCAAACCACATAGTTAATAATTCAGGACCCTTAACCGAGATGAAGTTGGCCTGGCATTCATTAGCAATAGCTTTGGCCAACAAAGTCTTACCACAACCTGGTGGTCCATAAAACAAAACACCACGGGAAGGTTGCATTCCAAACTTCAAGAACTTCTCTGGATGTTCAACAGGATACTAGAATATAAAATATAACTTAGATACCAAGGTAACACCATAGGCAAAGGTAGAAAACATTTATGTTTAAAACTGACAAATTTTAATTTTACATAATTACCTGAACTAATTCTTGTAACTCTTTTTTAACATTATCGAGACCACCAATATCATCCCAAGTAATATTAGGAACTTCAACCACTGTTTCACGAAGGGCACTAGGGCTACTTTTGCCCATAGCATACTAGAAAGAAATAGATATAAAATTATAATAAATGTACAATTTGGCTATAAATGAAAAATATGACATGTTTAAACATATCAATTAAATACTTTTGTTTTTGTAAGGATGTACGAACAATTAATAATATGAATTTAATCACAAATATTGCATGTTTTTCTGATTCAAAAATAAGACTAATTGAAAAAATTTAAACATAAAATAAAAACAAAATATCACACTAATTAAAATAATATGTCTGTTTAAACACATTTATATGCACTAAAAATAATTCGTTTGGTTTTGGAGTTAGAAAGTTGGTAAGTATTATAAATAATGAGTGACGAAAAACTATTAAAAAAGAAAAATGTTGAAGTCAGTTGGTATAGTGTTACATTAGATAGAAACCTACTTTTCTAAATTGTTTTTCTGTGTATAAATTTCTAATACAAAGAGAACATGTTGATAAATGATACTCGAAATATTTTGTTGCTCAGTAGAACAATGATATGATTTACTACAAAATACATATTGATAATGATAATGAAAGGCTTAGCGAACCTGAAGGTTCGATGCCGACACCACCAATCGCTTATTACACACCTCCCTCCACCGTTCGCCGTCCAGACCCAGTCCCTTCAGATCGGCTTTAATGCAATCTTTCCACCTTCGCTTCGGTCTACCCCTCGGACGCTTACCATTCGGCACAGCAAATATTAACCTTTTAGGAATTCTCTCGTTACTAAGCCCAACAACTTTACAAGCCCATTTGAATCGCCGCAATGAAATTACCTCAATTATATTACCCGGATACAGTTCACGCAATTCGGCGTTGTCTGAAATCTCTGGTTAACTCATCCTTCTTCGGTCCGAATATTCTACGCAATACTTTATTTTCAAAAATCTTAAGACGCTGCTCATCCCTTAATGTAAGCGGCCAAGTTTCGCATCCATAAAGAACTGTAGGCAAGATAATTGTTTTATAGATTCTAATTTTTAAGTTCCGGGACAAGAGGCGCGAACTAAGTAGTTTTGTAACAGAAAAATAACAAGCATTTCCCACCTTCAGTCTAACCTTAATCTCTTCTTTAATTTCGTTTTTTCTAGTTACCGTAGAACCTAGATACCTAAATTTATCTACCTGTTCAAACATATTACCATCTATATCGATATCACCAGTAGTATCGCCATTTTTGCAGCTAGTATATCGCCATATGAATTGAGTATCGCAATATATTTTGTTTTATCCGCGTATATTTCGAGTCCTAGTTGTTCACCGGCTTTCATTAATGTTGTCGTATTTAATTTTATAGTTTCAACGTCTTCGCTTAACAGTACCAGATCATCAGCATAGCCCAGCACGGATGTTGTCCCGCCCAGATCCAACCCTTTCTCGGTACGCATTACCTCCCTAATGGCATGTTCTAATGCCAAATTGAACAGGACAGGCGAAAGAGAATCCCCCTGTTTTAAAACCGACCGAATCTCAAATTTTTCGGACAGATTATTACCGATTCTAACTTTATTGAGTGTCTCCATCAAGCACATCCTGACTAGATTTATTAATTTTTTTGGAATCCCCTGCTCGATTAGAATATTATACAGTTTCTGGCGGTCAATAGAATCGTAAGCCTTTTTGAAATCGATATACAGCTGGAGAACAATACCGTTGTACTCCAATTTTTTCTCTAATATTTACCGTTAAGAAAATATTTGATCAATAGTCGAACGATTCCATCTAAATCCGCATTGGTAGTCTCCGATAATTTCCTCGGCGTATTCCGTGATTCGACTGGTTAAGATTGAAGTGAATATTTTATAACATACCGGAAGGAGTGAAATTCCTCGATAGTTATTACAATCCGTCCTAGGGCCCTTTTTGTGAATCGGAATAAGAATAGATTCTTTCCATTCTTCAGGTAATTTCTCATTCAAAATACATATTACTAAACTAAAAACTAGCAAAAGTGAAGTTTTACCCTGAAGTTATCCATGGTAACAGCAAGAGAATTAAGAACTTCGGCATCAATTTGGTCTTCTTCTAAATCAATTAGATCCATTTTTTCACGAATCTGTTGAAGAGCTGCTTCTGAACAGAGAGATGCTAAATCAGCACCAACATGACCATGTGTTTCGGCTGCAATCTAAAAATTTAAAGTTAATGTAATGCTCTGAAACCAAACATCAATCAAAAATGACTTACTTCAATAATACTAAAGATAAAAATTATAAACCTGTTCTAAATTAACATCATCAGCAAGTTTCATATTTTTTGTGTGAATTCGAAGAACTTCTAAACGTCCAGTAGTATCTGGAATACCAATATCAATCTCACGATCAAATCGTCCGAAACGTCTAAGAGCAGCATCAATTGAATTAGGCCTGTTGGTAGCAGCCATAACAATTATATGAGAATTTTGTTTAAGACCATCCATCAAAGTAAGCAATTGTGAGACGATTCTCCGCTCTACTTCTCCATGGGTCTAGAGAATAGAATTTAAATTAAAACATTATAGCAGTTTTCTTCAATACTTAAATTTACTTTCAAATAATTATAAATTACTTCTAAACTAAATCAAATTAAAACCACATTTCAAACAGCTTTTACATCATGTATATGTATATATACGTACATATAAAATTATAAATGTGGTCTAAAAATAAATAATATAAATATACATATCAATTTCTATAAATATACATATTAACTTCTCATTCAAGGGCACCCCACGAACGAAGAAGACATGGACCATACCGAGGACCTCGATCCAGAAGAGGTTGAAAAAATAGATATACTGGATGTAGAACTAGCTATCAAAAGGCTTAAAACAAGAAAGGCCACAGGGATGGACAACCTACCATCAGAACTGTTTAAAGATGGGAGGAGGAAAGGATACCTGAGGCTTGGAATACCAGCCTAATCTGCCCTATCCTAAACAAAAGACTCCATGCATGAGTGTAGTAATTACAGAGGAATAGCACTCCTTCCAGTTGCCTACAAGGTAATGACCAATATCCTACTAATTCGGATATATCCGTATTATGAAAATATAACAGGCGACCACCAAGCTGGTTCAGAGAAGGAAGGAGCACGCTAGACCAGATCTTCATTCTACAAGTACTCCAAAAACGATGGGAAGTAGCTCCAAGTCTTATTTGTCGATTGCTCGAAGGTGTCCATGCTGGAATAAATCATAAAATCCTTGGATATGCCAATGATATTGCTGTTCTTGGAAGTAACTAAGAGGACATTGAGAAATGTGCTAAAACTCTGATAAGAGGGGCAGAGCAAATCGGCATACAAGTAAATTAAGACAAAACAAAATACATAATAATAAACCGATAATAATTCCATCTGCATAGAAGGGAAATTGTTCTCGAGTAGAAAAATTCAAATACCTTGGGTGTTACAATAACTTTAATGAATGATTAATGATCAGAAATAGACCAGCCTAGACTAGAACAAACAGAGCTTTCTTCTCCATTTCAAAGGTATTGAAACCTCAAGTTGATGGAATACAAGGCTATAACAGTCAGTTCTAATATATGACTGAGATCTGGACACATCCTAGAAAAATGTATTGACAGATTTGAGAGAAAAATTCTCCGCACGATAACCAGAGTGATCTGGAATCAGAGTACCAACACAAGGAGAAGACCAATAAAGAACTGCTTACAGAAACTGGCCAATCAATATCTCATGATATAGATGTAATAGAGTTACATGCAGATAACTGGAAAGAAATAGACTGAGATGGAGATAAAATGGCAGGGATGGAGCAGGCTTGTTCCGGCAGCAAAAGATTTACAAGTTTTGTAATACCAACAGAAAAACAAAACAAATTAAATAGTTTATAATAATACAATATATTTATAAAAAAACTGTATACAATACCTTGTCTCGTTTTGGAGCTATAGCATCCAATTCATCTATAAAAATTATAGAAGGTGCATGTTTTTCAGCTTGTTCAAATGCTTTACGCAGGTTACTTTCCGATTCACCTGCTAGTTTACTCATAATTTCTGGACCTGAGAATAAATATAAAAAGCTGATAACATTACAGAAAATATTGCAGCAGTATGTGTTAGAATGTCATAGAGCGATGTACTGTCTTTAAGTAATGTGTCCTTTTGGATTGTTTAAGAAATGTGTTTTGCATGAATATACGTGATTTTGATTGTTTCGGTCAGATGATGCCTGAATTGGCCAAACATTGATGTTAGTTTGTTTACCTGCATTTTAGAAACTGAAAGCTTTGTGTTTAAATTTTTCCCATGATATCTCAAAACAGATGTCTCCTACTACAGTCCACAAAATTTTTTATTACATGAGAAATTAAAAAAAATAATGATTTAAAAAATATGTAATTTATTCAATCATTTAAAGAAAAAGCTATTACATGCTCTAGCCTTTTTGGTGGTTTTCAGAGTAATTTATTAATTAGTATGCTATTGGAGTTGAAGTAAGGGTGATGAAAGAGTTAGCTCATACTTAAATTATATTTTTATCATCTATTCTTAACTTTTTTTGTTTTTTATTTATTTCACTTAACTAATACAGTACAACACGAATACAATATAATATAAAATACAGTACAATCTCAATAATTCATAACCCGTTAATTCGTAAATCCTGCTAATTTAAAATAAAATGCTGGTTCCTTGGAAAATTCCTGTTATGTTAATAATATAATATCAACTCGTGTAAATGTTGTTCAAATGTGCGGACAATCAAAATGATAGATCAATAAAATCACAATACATTATAACAATTTTTATTAAACTACTAATCACATGCAATATTATATTAAATGTAATGAATTTAAATTATCAAGAATGTACAATAAAAAAATATGTTAGAGTTGGAAATATTAGAGGGAAGGACGCTAACCCCACAAGTTGAGCAGGAAGGATGCTTTGTCTGTCAGTTCCGGAGAGTTCTCGAGTTAACATCTCTACATTGATTAAAAAAGTATATAATGGATGAAGCGCACCTTCAGTTGATGGAGCAGCTTATGCTTAGAGCTACCTCAAAGACAGTTTAATCAAACAGTACCTGATACATTATTTTATAATAATGGCTTATATAAACTTGAATTTTATTTTATTATGTTCATAAATGTCATTTGTTTGATCCTTAGCATTCACAGTCCATGAACCAGTTAAGCCCTTAGAGTTCATTAAATTTATAACAAATAATAAATCAATAGTTTTGCATTTATTCAATTCACATATTTAACAATATCAGACCATTTGGCTAGCCGAACAGGGATTGAAATTTAAATCATTATTTATTAGTACACTTTAAATAAAATTAGAACAATATAATATACAGGGTGCCATGTAAGTAGAGGAAAATATTTAAAGAGGTGATAGTAGACATCAAGAGCTATAAAAAGTTCATATTAACAATGAGGCGATTTTCTGCCGAAAAGTAGGAAATTCAAGTTTTGTGTTTTAAATAAGTCACATATTTTGGTTGAATATGAAGCAATAAGTACTTGCATTTCCAGCAAAAATTACTAAAATAAATTATTGCAAAGCTATTGTTGAGAAAGTTTTGTTATTTCATCATGTATGCCATTTCTTAAAAAAAGTATCTTTAAAATAAAATTATTAAATGTTAGTATAAATCATTTCTAGGGATTACTATTTAAAGATATTCAATATTGATGTGACGAAATTTCCTTAGAACACAGCCCATTAATACTCCCAAGTATCACTACCGTCCTTCATCAGAGGCCCAGTAAACTGGAAACTCTTTTGTAAAATCTTTTCTTATAAAATGGACCTTAGAATAACCCTGAAAACCTGGACAATGGCATATGTTCCTTTAACACCAAAATTAGTAAGAAGTATCAACCAGAAATAAATTACTTATGTATAAATCAGTTTACATTAAGAGAAATCTTAACATACATCCGTGAAACTTAACTAATTAAACTAATAAAGGAATTACAAATATTCCAAAACAAATACTTCACAAATGTCAACAACAATCCATATTACACTAGAATAACTAAGATACACTCAGAATTTAATATACCCTACGTAAAAGAATATATACACAAGCTAATACTTTTTTAAATCAAGTTACCACTCGCTGTAACCCGTTGTTAACTGAAATGGATAATAGTATTAAAACTACAACCCAAAGAAACAAACATAAATAGACTAAACATATCATCATAATTGGCACAACTGTCATCACCGATCCCAAGCATACTCTAATAGCTTCTGCTAGTCTATACGGTCAAATTCACAGAGAGAATGTCTTATCATCTACATAATGTTTGGCCTTACCACCCTTCTCTCACCATGTAGCTCCTCAATCAGGACCTTCTTGTCAAACATAACTCTTTATTTGATTGTAAAAATATACAAAAATTATATAGATTCTACAGAGTAAAAAACTTCGTATAAATTAATCAACTAACCATTGATTAAAAAGAAAAATGCTCCTGTTTCATTGGCCACAGCACGTGCTATCAATGTTTTACCAGTTCCAGGTGGTCCATAAAGTAATATTCCACGAGGAGGTTTGACACCAATGGCTTTGAATAAGCTAGGATGTCTCAAAGGAAGTTCAACCATTTCTTTAATCTGAGCAAGTTGTTTTCTACAACCTCCAATATCATCATATCCAACAGCATTTAAAGCTTCTTCTTCTTCCTAAAGAAATTCATGCAAAAAAAAAAAAAATAAAATAATATATAATTATTCAACACATTGCTCACATATTAACAGGTATATCAGTGATTTTTTACCTCTCTCTTGATATGAGTGCCCTCACAATGAATAATGGTGTCAGGTGCTACAATACAATAAGGAGCAGGATCCGTTTCTACTACTTTAAATTCAACAGCACGCATACCACCTCTGACAACAAATGTATCATCTTTATGAATAGGACGATATGCTTCCAGAAAGTATGGTTTAAGAAAGACTTCAAAAAGGTTCCTAAACAGAGAATAAGAATTGTGATATAAAATATAAATACAAAATAGTATTAAAATATTTAACAGGAAAAAAAAATTACCCTGTTAATCCCTCAACAGTATCATCTATTGGTAAAACATGAATTCTTTTTCCATACTTTACTTCAGGACAAGCTTGAATTGAAACAATATCTGACAAACGAACTCGTAGATTATTTCTAACAACTCTGTTCATCCTAATTTTTTCATCAGGGCAGGTATCATCAGATAACACAATACAAACGGTTTCTTTCCTTCTTTTCCCTTTAAGCTGCACAGTGTCTCCACGAAATAATTGAAGTTCATCCATCTTAGCCTGTAAAATATAACAAGAAAAATTAACATGACTTCCATCACTTAAATAGTTTATGTTTAAAACATTTAACACAATAAAAACAATATATTTTACACATTAAATGACTAACCTAAGAAGTATTTGTAGTATACTTATAAAAAATAATCCAAAAAAAAAAAAAGAAGTCAATTACTTAACTTTGATTGTTAAAAAGTAATGATTCTATATTTATATTAATTAAAATTAAAAGATTGTTGTTTTCATCATATGAGTATATTTTAAATTGACTTCACTACACTTTCATATTTGTCTAATTTGGCCATAACACAATCCTCTGGCATTTATGTTACATAGTAATCTGGGGCTACATTCAAATAACATATTATTCACAGTACCATGGTTGGAGGTCTTCATTTATTCTTTGTTTCTTTTATACTTTCATGGTTGTGTCTTATTTCGCTTAGAACAGATAAAGGCCTACAATTCATGTCGAATGGCATAGATTAAAAAGAAGTTAACACTTACTTTGTATTACCTTCCTTAACTGCAACCCTTAAATAGCATTTCCTTCATTACTATTTTGTTTATACTTGATTTTTTTTTCCTGTTGGTATTACAGACCTTGTAGATATTTTGCTGGCTTAACAAGCCTATCTTGGGTTAATTCTTTTCAGTTACATTGCATCTTTTACTCTATTTATCCGCTTTTTGGCCTTCCACATAGTCCTTTGCCTACTATTGAGGCATTCATTGTACTGTAGAGACTTCCAGATAGATTTCTCCGAGCTATATGCCCATTTTAACCTCAATGCCATTATATCATAAGATATTGATGGACCAGTTTCTGTAAGCAGCTCTTAATTATTGGTAAATTTGTTCTGCTTCACTTATTAGAGTCTTTGCGAGTTTTTCAATGTCCTTTTGATTACTTAAGAGCACAGCTATATTATCTACATATCCAAGGATTTTATGATTCATTCAGATGTGGACCCCTCCCCTCCAGTTTCATGTGATGTTGCTCTTTTTACCTTATCCAGAACCTAGTTGAACAATATCAGTGACAGTCCATGTTTCTGCACTATAGATAAATAAGGCGTTGATGTCTTGAGTTACTTCCTATCATTTTTCGAGTATTTTTTTATACTTGTATAAAAAATATACAACTATTTTTTTATACTATGTTTTCCCTTTGTATCCATCCATATCTTCAAATTTTAGATACTGTAATTTTCTAGGTTTTTCCCCATTTCCCAAACAAGTCAGCAAATTCCCCAATACCTGCCCTTACCCTGATTTTCCAGTTCTAAGAGAAACTCCTAGCTGAACACACCTGTAAGTCTCTATTTCTATTCTTCTAATTTTATTTACTTATTTATTTTATTTTCTTTCTCCACATTCTTTTATGTCTATTATTTCATTTTCTTTCAATCTCTCCTGTAGATCTGTAGAAGTATATTTACATTTGCACATATATATTACCCTACAACAATTGTTACCATCTACTTACTTCTGTTTAGGACCTTGTTACTTAGCTTACTCTGTTTATATTTTAATGTACTTACTATTTATAATTTTAATAACTTTATTCACATTGTTTAGGGAGCGGGGTAGCTCAGTGGTAGGGCACTGAGCTTCCAATGCAAAGGTCCCAGGTTCGAACCCCGGCTCACGGCAGAAAATTTATTTATCTGTTTCATTGGCTGTGGGGCGACCCTGGGTCTGTAGACCCTCCTAGGGCACACCCAGCCTCTATAAAGTGGGTACCCTTAATTAAATAATCAATTAAGGGGAAAAACCTGGCGGTTGAGCGTGACCTCGGTCAAATCAGACAGTACCAACCTAGAAACAGACAGTGCTTTCCCTAAATAGTACTGAACCCAGACCCTTCATGGGTTGTAGTAGTAAAGGTTTTTTTAATTCACATTGTTTCTAATTTTTTATCTAAATATTATGTAGCTTTCACAATTCTCTATCTTTTTGTATCTTGTCCGTTCTAGCCCTGAAGAAGACCTGCAAAGTCGGGTCGAAACGTTGGCTTTTAATAAAATAGTTTTGCCACTATTTAGCCTATTTATGACCGCCACCTTGGACCATCTCCAACGGTCAACTATTAAATATTCAATAAAAATTTAAATAATTGAACAGTATAATTATTTAGGAGTGGTTTTTTCATCATCAGGTTTATTTTCTCAGGAAGCAGATAATGATGCCAAAAAATCAGTTGGCATCATATAGAGTTTGAGAAATCTTGTTGAGGTCAAGATTAGATTCTCTCGATACTAAATTTAAAAATTAGGCTTTCGAGATAGTTTTCTAGACAAAAGTGCTGAATGTCCCATTTTGCAATAACTCGAAGATTTATACCATTTTCTGTTGCATTGTCCTACATACATAGCTTTTAGACGTAAGTATTTAAATGAATATATTGATGATAAATGTGACGATAAAGATCAAATAGTACAATTATTAGATATAGAAAACAAATATAAATTCAATGATTTATACTGGTATAGAAAGTTGTTTAAAATAAAGAAACTTTTTTTTGTTTGTTCAAGAATAAATAGTTTCATTATTAACATTAAGGTTAAGGTTACATGTAAATATAATATTAGGACTAAGTATTATATTTTGTTTTGCTCAAGAAAGATTGTTTTGTTTATAGTTATATGAAACACAATTTTATTTTGTATATTACATTATATTTAATATATATTATATTATATATGGTTCCTACTATTAATGCAGCTAATCAGGTATCATATTTATGTATATTCTTATAAATGTACATATGTGTATAAAACTCAATTCCATTAGTATGGGTTCGCCCGAAAACAAATAAAAATTTCTGAGTTGATGGCATTTGCAAGCGAGTTGAATGTATGTCATCGTTTAGCAACTTCAATCCGGCCCGCGAAAGTTTCTTCGATTACATGGTAAAATTTTATAATTATAATTACAATTTTAAACTGTTTAAAAATATGAAATTAAGCAAATTACTCCAACATTTATTGCATGGGTTTTTCTCCTTAGAAAGCTCATTTCACAGCTGAAATGCTATTTATAGAAAACAATTTTTTTTTTTATCACAAGCCATGGCCTGTGGGACTTGGGTGGTGGTTTCAAGGCAGACTTAGTCTCAACATGGCCAAAAAGATTGAAGACCCCTGTGGTTTATCATATTCAATTATCCATGATTCTTTAAGCTTTCGAAAAGTCCGTGCTCATTGAGCTCAACATTAATTGACCAGCATCCACATAGACAATCATTCAAAACTTTCCCAGATTTGGAATGGTATGAAGGAGGATCATTTCTTAAGTGAACAATAATTGTTGATGAGAAATGGGCCCATCACTTTGAACATGAGAGCAAGGGACAAAGTTTGGTGTAGTAACATCCTTTATCTCCTGTAACAAAGAAGTTCAAAACCCAGATGTTTACAGGAAAGGTAATGATTATGATATTCTAGGATATGGAAGGTTTGATTTTGCTGTACTTCAAATCTACAAGGTCAAACTATAAATAGTGACAGGGGACTACTGCGTTTACTCAAGGCAAAAATTAAACCCAAAAGACATAATAAACTTACAAAAGTTATGATCATATTGCTTCAAGACAATGCTTGTCTCAACTGCTGGACCACCCGCAAAATAGTCCAGAGTAAGCTCCAAGCGATTTTGAACATTTTGGTCCATTAAAAGGGATTTGTGAAGGAATCAATATCAATCTGATGAAGAGGCCATTGAAATGGTGCACAACTTTCTGAACATCTGGCCGAAAACCTTCTTTCAGGAAGGAATTCAAATGCTCCTTAGAAGAAAGATTAAGTGTATAGAAGTAGAAGAGAATTATGATGAAAAGTAATGGTAATATCATTTATATATGTAAAATAAATAGATTTTTCCAATTTCTCTCTAAAAAAAGGGGCTATTAGGAACAGTGGCACCATTATCCAATTTTCAGAGCTCGTGGAGAAATGGGCTACAAATTTGTAAATTGAAATTTGTGGCATTTTGCTGCCTTTAAGAAGACTTGGAGAAACATAAATGCAAAATAAAGTAATTTTGATTGATTTCAAGACAGAAATGCTGGCAGTTTCTAGACCTAGCGATGGGACCTCGTTTGATGCTTTGTGCTGTCAGGAGATGGGAAAAGAACTGTTACTGAGGAAGAAGGAGGTTGTACTCCAATGGGTCCCAGGACACTATGGACTACATGATAAAACCCCTACCCTACCCTAATGATATAAAGGGTGCTTTAACAAAGGACGAAGAAATCAAACTTCCAGATGAAGAATAGAATACTATGGAGCTACGAAAGAAATAGAGAAAGACCTACAAAAGGAACAGACAAGTGTTGGTTTCCCTAAACAATGGATTGGGTCCAACTTTTAGGTTTTTAACCCTTCCATCCACTTGTTAATTCATCCCTCCATAATCTTAATTCATTTCTTTTCTTTTTAATTTTTCTTTAAGATTTGTCAAGTCATATTTATGATTAAGTATATTCTCCATTCTCTTTATTATAACCAATTTTATTTACTTAATTTTAGTTTCTGGTTACTGAGTTTTATATTTGAATGTTGTTAATATTTTTATATACTTCCTGTTTATACATTAGATAATTTTCTATCTAAATATCTTGTAATTCCTACAATTTTCTATACCCTTTGTATCTTGTTCATTATAAATTTGGATTTATAATAGGATGTTCTCCTTTGATTCCAAATAAAATAAGAATCAAAGAGGAAGACTACCAAGATAGAGACAAATTCGAGAAAATAGTGAAAAATATAAAGGTCCTTATAGTGGAGAAGGAGAAGTAAGAAATGGACAAAGGAACGAAAGAGGGAGACGGGAGAAAAATGAGAAGAATATGAGTAAAAAAGAAAAAATCTGGTGTCCACGACTTTCCTACGTATTTCAGAAAAGTTTTTATATCATTACATATGTCCATCAAGAAAAAACAAAAATTGAATTAGATTTATTTGATAAACTAAAGCAATTTAAACCGGCTTAAGGTAGATCAGTGTAAAAATCTCAATACCCTCTAATATTGCTGATCAAACAGGCTAAACAGTGTTTTTTCCGGACTCAGGAGGCTCTAAAGCATATAGATCTGTCGAAAACCGCATATCGGAAATTTGACCCGATCGCAATACTTTCCTTACCTAGTATAGGTAGGAAAGTAATAAAATAAAACATAACGGTTATTATTATTTATCTCTTAGTCATTATTCTAACAATTTCATTTTACTTTATATTTATTTATTTTAATTTTTTATTTTATTTTATTTTTTTACCATCACTACTAATGTTTCTCAGACCTTGTTATCTGGTTATTTTCTTAGCCCTGATGAAGGCCTGAACTTCAGGTCGAAACGTCAGCATATGTAAAAATAAATATTATCATTTATTTTTGCCTTCTTTTTGACTGACCACCCTAACTATTCTTCTCTTCTTTAAAATAAAACATGTGTAGAAAATAGAATACACTGTATCATCGCTAATACTGGTTCGATTTCAATTATGATTTTTTTTTTTGATTTATTGGTAATTTAATTAAGTTTCAAAAGTTGTATTATAAATTTTACCATAGAATAAACATTTAGTGAGTTAGGCACCAAAACATTTTTCTTTATAACTTTTTTTACCTGAATTTTTTCGGAAGTTTAGTCCATGTACGAAAATTGAAAGGATAATTATTAGAACATTATAGTAAAGTTTCATCAAAATAGTTAAGAGCCGTTTTCGCACTACAGTCTAGAGAAAAACATGTTTTTCATTTATTGTGCAGCAGATATTGCGCATGGAACATTCAATTTGTGTCACAGGCATCAGTAGTCAAAATCTTACAAAATAAAAAAAGGAGCAACAAAATCAGTTCAGTAGTTCCCGAGAAAATCTTGGCAGACAGACAGACGGACGACAGATATTGGCCAGTATCGTGATATATATATATATATATATATATATATATATATATATATATATATATATATATATATATATATATGTGTGTGTGTCTAATGTCTAAAGTATGACAAGTGTAATCAAAATTCATTAAACTCCGTCTTAGTGTTTACCATGGAAGAAAAATATATATATTAACGCACATTCACACATAATGTTAATAGGCATGACACATACAACAAACTCCTTCTTTGTGATAATCACAGAAATAAATAAATATGTGTGAGTATTTATGTATTAGTAATTATTCATAGTTTTTGAAGTAATAATAATAATTTGTTAAATTTAATATTATAATAGTTTTGGATATCAAAAGTTATAGAAATCATCATCATCGTCTTAGACACTACAACTCCTGTAGAGTTAAGGTCTGCAGCTTGCTCCGCTAATCTTCTCTATTGGTTGCTGCTGCTCTCCAATTGCAGATTCCCAAGATGGACCTGGCATCCGCTGCCACTCCAAAGTTGTAAAAATGAAGAAACATATTCAATAGATATAGACAGCACTGATGGATAAGAGTGTGTAAACAATCACATATTTTTTTAATAGTTATAAAATTTTATCATGTAATCAGAGTAACTTTGGCGGGCTGTAGTTTGGAGACTCCTACCTTAAACTGTAGTTATGGAATGGAGGAGTCTCCAAACTAAAGTTACTCTGATTACATGATAAAATTTTAAAACTACTAAAAAAATATGTAATTTAGCAAATTTCTCAAACAAGAGATTACTACATTTATTGCATAGGTTTTTCTCTAGGAAAGCTCATTTCACTACTAAAATGTCATTCATAAAACAAGATTTTTTTTTTTTCATTACAAGCCATGGTCTGCGGGACTTGCTGAAGGTCTTAATGTGGCCAGCGGGCCAAATAGTTTGGAAACCGAGGTATAATAGCCCAGCAACCTTGTACATCGTAAGTTGCATTGAATAGGGGTAGAAGGTTTCATTTTATTTTCTTGTATAGGATATGAGTGAGAAGTAAAATCAAAGTTTTCAATCATGGCGCACCAGGTCACTTTTGAATCTGGGGAGTAGAATACTTTTGAATATACCAAAAACTGCTATATTTTCACACTTTTTTCGGTTTCCCCCAATTTTATTCATGAGGCAGAATGTTTTTGACAAAAACCACACTATATTTTTTTTAAGTAGATTAAATATGCTACAATTTAAGACCGGAACAGGCTCGGTAAATCAAAGGTTTACGAGATACAGGTCTGCAAAGTTTGGAAAATTTTATTTTCTATGTTCACATGCTATTGTCTTTTATCCTCAATAACCTGTCTGATATGAGTCAGTGAAGTAAATTAAATATTTATAAGACATTCATATACATCACATTTACCAGATGTAATGTCAAGTGGGTTAGGTAGGATTTCCTTCCAACCTCTGAGTCTCCCACTATTTTGCCCTTACTTTTGATGTATCATGTACTCTTCTTAACATTTCCGCACACATACAATCTGTAAACCTGTGTATTTCTTTTAACTATAAAGATTTCAACATGGACAATCTTAGTGATACAAAATAATGAAAGGGAAATAATATAAGTTTACAAAACTAGATTTCAATGGATGCATCGCATTGCATTCATTTTATTACAACAAAGATGTAAGGACCTAAATTCAAGACAGCTTGATATATTTTTTTTATTAAAAAAAAAAAAAAAAAAAAAAAGATAACACTGGCAGCAACCGGTAAAAGGGTTTTAAACAAGTTAGAAAATAGGAATACTAACTTTAAAAAAAAGTATATTTTTAAATTTCTATAAGAAGTGCAAATAATTTCATGAGGCAGTGCTAACAAAGTACAATACTAAAGAGTAGTCATGTCAGACTGTTTAAACCCAGTTCACTTCCAAGTGGATAGGGCTAGGGGAACTAAAGTCTCTGTCTTCCAAAAATACCTGTGCTTTAGCAAAAATTGTTATAAAAAGGTTTTAGTTTTTAATTTTATGTGAAATACTTTATATTAAATTAATTACTAAAATATACTTATTATTGGTATAAAATAAGTCTAAAAAATTGCTGTATTAACACAAAATTACAACTTACCTAAAAAAAGCATAACGCTAGAAAATAGACATAAAGTGATTATGGTATAAATAGAAAAATCCAAACTTCAAAGCTATGAGTCTCCAACAAAGAGATTAATAGTTATCTTGCCAACGTTTCACCAATTCAGGCATTATCAGGACAGAAAAACCAAGATCACATATATACAGAAAGAAAAAATATATATGTTGCAATTGACATCTCATGAAGCCATCCAAAATTTGATTTTATTAATTTAATTTAAAATTAGTTAGTGATTAATTTTATGATAGACATACCTCCCACAAAATTTTTTTTTAAATTACTGATCAAAAATGCATTTTTTACATTTAAAGTAGAGTACTATATCGCACATATTGTAATGCTTTAAGTATTTTATCATATATACTCATAAAATTACTGAGCACGGATATCTTGGAAACTATGTGAGATAGCGAAGGAATATCAACGATCTTATTGTAAATTTTATCAGATTTAATTGTATAGAACGTAATAAAACTGATATAAGCACCAAACCAAAAAAAAGGACCTTCTGGGAGCACTCCTGCCCCCACCACTTTCTCCTTACCTCTTAACTAGTCAGGATAAAGTGTTTAAGTAAAAAATTGTGTCCCTTCCATTTCTTTCTATTATCATTTAATTACTGGACTAGTCCAATTGGAGGCTAATAAAAAATAAAAACAATGCCAACAATTCATGATCTTATGAAAAACAGAATCCAGCATAGTTAACATGCTTAAAAGCCCTCTTAAAATGGTTTTAAGACTATGTAATAAAATGAACAAAGATAAATTCTACATGCATTTGAAGAAAATCTTTTCTTGAGGCAATTGTTAATTATAAAGTTTAATATTTTAATAGTAATAACTTTCTATTAAAAAAACAACCAAAAACTGACCCTCATAAAAACACAAAATTTCCTACATTTTTTGGGTGGAATCATACTAAAGTCTATATGATATTTTTTGTAGCTCTTTAGAACTACCATCACATATGTACTATTACTTATAGTGCTCTCTGTACATTATCCAGTATTAATCTACATCTGTTTGTAGCATTGTCCAATTCATTCAAGTCTACTTATTTTGAAAAGAAAACACCAAAATAACAATGACGTGGCATGAAATTGTAATAGAAAATTCAGAATCTTCAAATAACACCATTCTTGGCCCAATAACAATGAAAATGATTTACCAACAAAAACAAATACGAACATTTAAGAAACAAAGATCACTTCTGTGAAATAAAATTAAATATAAATTATTAGCAGTAAGTAATTATCAACATTTGAGTATAGATATAATCAATTTATGGTATTATAAACAATCCATCTCATACCTGTGAAAGAGCAACAACTGAATTATCATCGTTGACTGCATCTTCAACAATCAATCTATTCGGCCGATCTTTCTTTTTCAGGATAGCAGTGGACAAATCTTCATTACTAAAAATTGATTTAAAATTAAAAAAAAAAAGAAGCGATTTTTGAAATTAAATTAAATTATAGAAACATTAAACCTTCAAAAATTTATAAATTGAGAAAGATTAAAAATTATTTCCATGTACTAAACTGTAAATGAAAAACATATAAAACATAGTCTCAATAAATAACTACAAACTAAATGGATAGCAGTGATGAGGTTGTAATATAAGTGTGACAAAGCATTTTTAAGGATTATGGAAGTATAAATAGAATTAATGATACTTTATAAAACATATGAGCAACAACATCATTGTTTTCTTAGAATCTGTTAAAAGTGTAAAAATAAATTAAAGAAAACTATTATGGACCTAAGTATGCACGATACAAAGATGCTAATACAAATAATTGTTATAGTTTAATAACAATCTGTAGCTAATGAATCACAATAAAACGTATAACAATACCTTTTCATATCAGCCATTTAAGTGTAAGTATTAACAAACGAGTACTAACACAAGATCAGACCAGCGGTACCTCCAACTCTAACAATGAATAGCAAGATGAAATAATAAAGCCTCCAGAGTTGAGTCGCAGGTTATGCAGCGAATATGATTTGTAGTTCTCTGATTAGCCGGTGCTTAGCAATATTTGTATATTTATATTTTTGAAGGTACATATACATATGTGTGTATATTTATACATATAAATACATAAATATATATATGTATATATGTGTATATATATATATAAGTTTATGTTATATATATGTGTGTATATATATATACATATAAATATATATATATAAATATATATTTATATATATATAAATATATATTTATATAAATATATATATAAAGTTTATTTTCTATTTCTATCACTATATATATAAATACCGATAGACGATGTCGACGAGATGTTGCAAAACTAATTTAAATTTCACATTTGTCTATTTACAATATAGGCCAATTTTATTTACAATAAAGGATTCGAAGTCTTAAAATAATGATAAATTTAGCTTCGTAATAAATATAGATTTAACTTTTCTTAGCCAGAAACTGACTATGAATTGCTAAATTTGAAGGTTACTCCACCAAAAAATTGAAAAATATCTAATTAAAAAGACCGCTCAGCGATTTACAATCTAGATTTTGTCATTTGGCCGAAAATATCTTTCTAATATTACGTTCCCTACATTAGCTTCCAAATGCTTTGAATAGCGAAATTAACTAGTATAGGCGGAGCCAGGGGTGCCCATCCTCCCCATGGTCGATGGCGTATGCCCCCCCTCCCCCAAAAAAAATTATTGCTCCCCCTCACTTACATAATTAATTAGTATCTATATGAGATATTATATTAATGTTATTTTAAAATATAGTAGATATAAAATTTTTTTGTTTCTCGAGAATATTAAAGGCACAATACATTAGGTCAAAGACAATTACAGTTAGTAAAGGCAATTACAATCAACTAGTAACATAGCTAATAGTCACATAGAACCCACATTTGACCATACCATACCATCTTCTTCATCATTCTTTCTCTTTCTCTTTCTGTCCTCTACGGAGAGTGTTATTTCTTTCTCTTTATCATATCAGAATTCTATTTTCCATGGCTAAGATCTAAATATTACTTAGTTTACGGCTAATAATAGGGCCTCATTGGACAATTGGAAATACCGAGCTTGGAGAATCATTTGCCGCCATCATAATTTGAATATAATCCGGCTAATTTCTTTCCAGTTATCTTCATGAAGCTCTATTGAATATTTGTTACACGTTCAATCATTACTGATCATTACTTATCGTTGCTGATACCAATTTAGCTCAGTTGTAAACAAAGAAAGAGCATAGATATGCTTATTTGAACATTGTCATTTATAATATTGGGCATCAAGAGAAAAACGGAGATATAATAATTACTTCCTAGTGCCTGAAAATCGTTTTAGACCAAAGTTAGAAAAATATAAGTCAACTAATACAAAAATCTAGGAAAAGTATTGCGAAAATAATCAATTTGTTAAGAAAAATGGAAAAATTAATGGCAAATAAACACAACAATTAAAGATTTTTTTTCTATAAGTAAATTGTGAAGTTTCCACTTTTTTTTTCTCTTCAATTTATTGCCTACTTGACTATTTAAAGAAAAAATAGTTGAAAATGGTTAATAATAATATAGACTAGGGATATAAACAACTATTTACTTAATAACGAGACCTAGGTAAACTAACCTATCTAGTAGTAGTCTCATAGAAGGTTAGTCTCATAGAAAATCGTTTTGACAAAAGTTAGTAAAATATAAGTCTACTACTTACAAAAATTAAATAAAGGTATTGCGAAAATAATAAATTTGTTGAGGAAAATGAGAAAAGAACTGATAAATATACACAACGTTAAAGTTTTTATTTTTCTTAAATTAAATTGTGAAGTTTCCTCATTTTTTTTAAATTTGTTGCCCACTTGATTATTTAAAAGAAATAGTTGAAGATGGTTTAAAATTATAAACAAGGAATATGAAAAATTATTTAACTATTTACATATAATGAAAATTTTTTTTTTTTTTAAATCTATTTATTGAATAATAATACAATCAGCCACTGCTGGAGGGCTATACGCATTAGGGCCAAAAGTTCTCATTCATACAATATATACAAATAATAAAGAAATAAATATAAATATAAGAAGTAAATAAATAATACTGATGAAGAAGGTAAATAAAAAATAAATAAAAATAAACAAATAAAATAAAATTAAAACTTCTAAACACAATCATAACTATATACAATATGTACATTTGCCCAAGAATCTCCGAGCCAGGCTTTTCCCTTCACACGCGGAAGGCAAAGCAAGACTCCGGAAGATCCCAGTGCCACTTTTCCAGCCGCATCACTAGTATTAGAAGCCAGTGGAGACTGAAAGAGGGCACTACAGCCACAGACGCTCAGGACATGAGTGGAGAAGCTGGCCATTGCCAGGACTCCAAAGGCATATTTACAAAAGATCTCGAGGCCACTGCCGTTTCAACCTTGGATTCAACCTTGAGGGGGATGTTATGGATGCTCGGAGATGGATAGGGATTGAGCTAGAGGATTGGGATGATGAATGAGGTTCTGGTGAAAGTTGGAGAATCTGGATGGGATGATGTCATGGACATATGGGATGTTAAGGTCATGGTGTAGGGTCTTGTTCGTGACATAATATGGAGCATTGACTATTGTTCGAAGGACTTTGGACTGGAAGGATTGGATGCGTTTGATATTCGATGATTAAGTTGTCCCCCACAGTTCAAGTCCGTAGGTCCAGATAGGTTTCAGTATGGTCTTGTAGATTAATAATTTGTTTTCTGTTGAGAGATGAGATGTTCTGTTTAGTAGTCTATATAGCTGACCAAATCGTTGGGTTAAGCTCTTGTCTTTTAAGTCTCGTATGTGGGTTACAAGTCAGTCTTTTGTCCAGAAGGAAGCCAAGGTATCGGACTGTGTCTGAGTAGGGAAGAGGAATTGAATTAAAAAGGATTGGCGGACAGGATCTGCGTCGAAGAGTGAAAGTTACATGTTCGCATTTTGATTCATTAATTTTGATGCGCCAGTTGTTGCACCACTGCTCAATGAAGGAGAGGTGTCTTTGCAGGTTCCGGGACGCTATTAGAGGATCCGAGTGGAAGGATAGGATGGCAGTATCATCAGCAAATGTTGCTAGGAAGGTATCAGGACTTGAAGGGATGTCAGCGGTGAAAAGGATATAGAGAACTGGGCCCAAGACACTGCCTTGTGGAACACCAGCCTCAATTGGATAATGTTTGGAGAGTTCAGTGCCGCAGCGGACTTGAAAGGAGCGATTTGAAAGGTAAGATTTGAGGACTAGGTACAAGGGTTGAGGTAAATGGGTTTGAGCTTGAAAAGCAAGCCATCGTGCCACACCTGGTCGAAAGCTTGAGCTAAGTCCAGAAAGGCACCAGTGCAATATTGCTTGTTTTCAAGTGCAGAGGATATGTGGTCCACAACGTGAAGGCCTTGTTGGACAGTGGAGTGTCTTGAGCGGAATCCAAACTGATGGGAAGGGATATTGTGGGATTCGAGTATGGGTAGGATGCGTTTGAGAAGGATTTTCTCAAAGATTTTGGAAAGGATCGGAAGTAAGCTTATCGGTCTATAGGATGATGTATAATTAACAGGTTTACTTGGTTTAGGAAAGAGGATAATTATGGAGTGTTTCCACACCAGGGGAAAGTGGGTTGTGCGGAGGATACAGTTGAATAGATATGTAAGGAATATAATTGCTTTTTTGGGAAGTTGTCTGAGGATCTGGGAAGTAAGGAGATCGTGTCCTGGAGATTTGCGAGGTTTTAGGTTCTTTAAAAGGAATTTGACCTCAGAGGGGTTGACGGCTGTAGGAGGTAAGGAGAGAGGAATCGATGAAGAGAGGAATTCTTTAACTTCAGCAGTATGGGAGGGATGGAGTTCAGGATGAGGAGTGAATGTGTACGATAGATGTTTAGCAAACTCTTCTGCTCTATTCTCATCTGACGAAGCCCAGGAACCATCATCACGGCGGAGGGGGTGGGAAATGGATTGGAATTTAAGGATTTTTTTTGTTACATTCCAGAGGGAGTTATCACTTGCAGATAGTGAGGAAAGATAGGAATTATAGGATTGGGATCTAAACGTAGCCAGTTTTTGTTTTACCTGCTTGGAATAATAGTTATATGATTTCCGATCATCAGGATGCCTGGTTCTTTGCCAGATGGTCCTAGAGCATCGTTTCCTATTAATAAGGTCCAGTAGGTCTTGGGTAGAGGATTTATTTTGCGGTATTTTTTAGAAGGATCAGGTGAAGATGCAGTCCAAACTGCTTGTTGGATCAAGGTAGTCATGGAATATACTGCTTCATCTAGGTCTGCAGGTGTTTTTAAGGAAACTCTGAGGTCAATATTATCATCCAGTATTTGACGGAAGAGGTTCCAATTAACTGGCCCCCTGATAAATGAAGGTGGAGGTGGTTTGGGAATTGGTGATGTGGAGACCGTTAGGATTAGGGGACTATGGTCTGAGGAAAGATCATCAAGTCTTGAAATGCTATAATTAAGGGACCCTAGACCTTTGTGGATGAAAAAATCTAGGAGATCGGGATTGCGGTTAGGATCTGTTGGCCAGTATGTGGGAGAATTGGGTGAGAGGATGTTGCTGTGATGGGAATTAAGTGCAGATAGCAATGTTCGTCCTCTGGAATTTGTGGTTCTGGCTCCCCATTGCTGGTGTTTAGCATTTAAGTCTGCACCTAGAAGGAAGTGGTGTCCTAAGGAGTTAAGGAAGGAAGTTAATTGGGATTCTGAGATAGGTATTTTAGGCGGGGAGTATGCTGCGACTACTGCTATTGGGTAAGGAGAAGTTTGGATTATCACGGCAGTGGATTGTAGGAAATTATGGGTCAGCAAAGGGAATAGGTGATGGGAAAGGGATTGATGGATAATTATGGCAGTGCCAGCATGTGCTGTTCCATCAGGATGGTCGGTTCGATAGATATGATAGTTGGGGATGTTAAGTGGTCGTTTGTTGGTAAGTCAAGTTTCAGTTATTAATGCTATATCAATGTTTTTGT